AGCATTATGCTTTCTATGATTCTTTTGGATTCTGACATAATTCCTTCTTGACACTCTTGGTCTTGTCCATTTGAGTGACAGATGTGTAGTAAAGTAGTTTAAGGAATATTGGGTTTGTAACTAAAAGACTGGGTATGAAACCTTGCTGTGTCATTTACTTGCTTTTTTATGTTTTAATTTTTTAAAGATTTTATTTATTTAGCAGAGAGAGAGAGAGCACAGGTGAGCACACAACCAGGGGGAGCAACAGGCAGAGGGAGAAGCAGGCTCCCTGCTGAGCAGGGACCCCCCCCCCCCCATACGGGAATGGATCCCAGGACCCTGGGATCATTACCTGAGCCAAAGGCAGACATTTAACTGACTGAGCCACCCAGGAGCCCCTGTTTTAATTTTTTTTTAACCCTGGCTTATTCAGAACGTAATCTTTCTGAGCCACAGTTTCCTCTATGTGAAAGTGCCTAGCATAATACCTGGCACATTGTAGTTGCTCAACGTGTTTATTGGAGCTGAAAATAGGAAGAACAGCTTGCTTTTCAGAATGTTAAAGCTTAAGTAATTTTGGAATCATGTAGATAGATCTGAGCAGTTCTTTTCTATCTCATTTCCAATTTAACATGTTCATTCCAGTAAATGGTTTTTGGTTTTTGTTTTGTTTTACTAGACAGCTCAAGGATAAGGATGAAGGGGGAGGGGAAGAGAGGGTGAGTGAGGTAGAGGGTGGACTGCCTCAGTCTGGGGGCTGCTACCTCCATATATTTTACCCTCCTCACCTGAACTCTTTGAGTCCTCTGCCTCATAGCTCATAGCTATGAGTAACTCCCTTACCCAATGTGGCATCCATGTGCGCGAATGGGCCACTTGTCTTCATAAAAAGAACATGGCCGGCGGACCCACTTGTGTTGATACACAGGTGGTAAGGTTGAGGGTGAGGCTGGTGTTAACATTTAATCGTATCTTACGGTAACGGCACCAGGTGTTATATGGAGGTCAATCAAGGAATTTCTCACAACACGTAGGCAGATGGAATACAGGAGAATGGATCTAATTTTTAAAGTTCTCTTTGTAAGTGTATTTTGGTAAGAAGAATTTCTTCTGGATACTCCTGAGTAAATTGTTGACTATATCTGGGAGATTACACTGTACTCACTGGACAGAAGTGTTGCTAGTAGGAGTTGTGTTATTCTTGCAAATAGAACTGTGTTTGTGTATAATGAAACAGATACAAAGATGTGGCATAGTGTTATGCTTGTGTTGTGCCTATGTGTAAGAGTTTGGAGAGTTTATGTTTATAGTTAGCTTAATTTCAGTTATAACCATTCACTTGTGTGGTGTCCGGACTGTAATCTTGCAAAACTTTGGGCTGAACTTTACCCCTCGTTTCACTCTCATTTTCTTCCTATTGTATCTCCTTCTTCATTGTGCTATTTCCTACTCCAGATTCTCAATTCAAGAAGGGAGCTGAACTTTTCAATATGTCAACAGAAAGTCAGAAGTGATTGAGAAGAGAGAAAATAAGGAATGATAACCACAAATGAGGGAATAATATTGTTTTAATTAGAGCCCTGCCTGAGGAGATTTGGCACTGTTAGATGTAGGTATTTGTAAACTATAGGCAAGCTGTGTACCTATTTTCCAACCATTAAATGGAATTATCAAAATAAACAATTTCCCAACTTTACTGGGTCCTTGATTCCAATGGCTTCCAATAATCTAGTAATACATGGCACTAAGGAGAGAACTGTGGGATAATGTTTTATATATGTAAGGACCTTACAGTCTAGGTAAGAGAAGGAGTAGCCAATATGCATTTTTTTCTTTTTTTCTTTTTGAAGATTTTATTTATTTATTTATTTTTAATTTTTATTTTTTTAAAGATTTTATTTATTTATTTGAGAGAGAGAATGAGAGACAGAGAGCATGAGAGGGAGGAGGGTCAGAGGAAGAAGCAGACTCCCTGCCGAGCAGGGAGCCCGATGCGGGACTCGATCCCGGGACTCCAGGATCATGACCTGAGCCGAAGGCAGTCGCCCAACCAACTGAGCCACCCAGGCGCCCTGAAGATTTTATTTTTATGTAATCTCTACACCCAACATGGGCTCAAACTCACAACCCTGAGATCAAGAGTCGCATGCTCTACTGACTGAGCCAGCCAGGCGCCCCTACATTTTTGTCTTAACACAGTGAGAAAACTGTCTAGATGTAATTGAAGGGGTAGAGTATTGGTCATATTGTATAGAAATGTTGGTCAAGAACACTGATAGGTTAGAATCTAACCAATAGGAAGAATCATCCTAGAAGGTTCTGGCATCAAGGCATGTCTTTTCTCAGGTTGACACAGTGGACAGGCAAAGTCATGTGGTAATTGAATATTTAACTGCAGAGAGAAAAGCAATGTGAGAGGAATATTGTTGCTACAGGTGAGTATGAGCATCTTCTGATATAAGCGCTTTGGTGGGCTCTAAAGGTGGTAAGGTTTCCTGTGTAGGCTTCCATGCCTATGGGGTGGGTATGCCTGGTGTGTTCACCTTAAAAATTCTAGACTCGTTTCGTATATTCCACATGTCTCCAGCCAAGCTCTAATAGTTGGAAAGAGCTTATTGTACAAATGCCTGGAAAGCAATCTACCGAGTGGCCCTCACCATAGCCCTACACGTTTGTTTTCTTGGTCTAGCATCCTATTATTTTGGGTTTCCGGTTGTTAGTAAGCCTAGCTTCTTTAAAGTATCCATGCCCAAATAAAGATACACAAATGAACCTTGTTCAGGAAATGGAATAGAAGTTCATACTGTATCCATACTGTATCACACTGTGCTCTGTAATAAGTGTGATATGTAGGTGCAAGGGTACAAGTATGGATTTGAGTCACTGGGTGTGGGTGGGTATGTTTGGCCATGTGCCTGTAGTTGAGTTTGGCCCACCATGAGCAGTTCTAAGTGAGGACACATGTGCACACAGGCCTTTAAATGTCTTCCTTTGGTATGTATTAGTGGGTGTGGAGTTTGGTTTCTGGGCAGAGCTTGCAAGCTGGAGCTGGCTGCTGACCGACTTTTTCTTCCACTTGCACTGTGGTCAAGAGAGATTATGCTCGATGGACTCTGAAAAACAAACTGAGGGTTCTAGAGGGGAGGGGGTGGGGGGATGGGTTAGCCTGGTGATGGGTATTAAAGAGGGCACGTTCTGCATGGAGCACTGGGTGTTGTGCACAAACAATGAATCATGGAACACTACATCAAAAACTAATGATGTAATGTATGGTGATTAACATAAGAATAAAAAAATAAATAAAAAGAGAGATTATGCTCACAGAACACTCCCCCGGAGAGCCAAACTCGTTAAACTGGCTGCTCCCTGAATGAACACAATTACATCTGATAGTGCACTGAAAAGGAAGTAAGAGGAAAGGAGAACAAGAATGAGAATGGCAGTGAGACATTTTCAAGCAGCTTTTGAATTCTCTGGACTGTGCTAATGTTTTATTATTTAAGGTCTCCTTCTCTACCATCTCAAGGCTCCCTGATTCTTGCCCTAGCACCAGTGCTTTCCTTCCATGTGGTCTTGTGGAATTGTGGAAACTTTCTCAACTCCCTTTCACCTTGCTTTCTCGACTTATAAACTAGATGATATGGACTTTGTTATAATTCATTGACTTCATAGATCCCTTGTTATGTACAAGCCCACAGATAAGAAGGTGACTTTCCTCTCCCCAGTTTTCCTCCTGGCCACTCCTCTGTATACATGGGCTTCTGTCAACCAACCACACACCTGTCTTTCTTCTGAGTTGTAAGAAAATTGTCTAATTCTCATCTCCCAATCATGGAGCTTCAAGAATAATGAAAAGGGGGTGAGGCTGGAACTGGAAGGTTTCTTTATATATGTGTTTCAGGCACTAAGGGACTCTGCCTCAATAAGTCACATTGTCGTTATTAGTATCAATAATAAAGCACAACATGTAATAGAAGACCGCATAATATGGTGAATAGCACTTATGTACAACAGAGCATTCTGTAATTCTGATTTGTAAAATTTTACCTTGTTATCAAATCACTACAAAACTAGATACATACTTAGGATCACCTAGATAGTGAAAAAAAAAAATCACCGTTCCCCCCCCCCCAGATACATCAGAATTAATTAGAACCAGGGAGGACTTTTGTTTACCAAGGGCAAAATAAAGTTTGTATATATATATATATATATATATATATACCAGTTCTCTTCAGAAAGAAAGGACCAGGTTTGGGGAGGTGTAATTTCAAATATATGCTGATCATACAGAATTAAAAGTGATGTACCTAAAGAATCTCTGGCTCAGTAAGCAAGAAACTAGTTTACTTGGAGGAGAATTGGGAACTGAATAAATGGAGAAGGATGGGGTAGGAGAAAGATTTTTATTTATTTTATTTTATTTAATTAATTAATTTATTTATTTATTTTTAATTTTTTATTTTTGTAACTTATGAATATATATATGTATATATGTATATATTACATAGTTAAAGAGAGAGAAAAAGAAAATGGCTTGGTTCTGATACTCCCTTTAATCTATATACTAGTAGGAATGAATGCCTGTGTCTGTCTATATATAATGACCAGGGGAAGCTCCAATTAAAAAATAAGTGATACACAGAAAAAAAATATTAAACCTGCTTAGGATTATAGGGGAGGTAGATCATTTCCATATAACCCATGGACCACAATTGCTCAGACCAGTGCTGCGAACATGAACTTGAGCATTGGAGCAGGGGTCTTGGGTAGGAGGGGAACCTTTAAATAATTTGAGAAACAATGGCATGAAAGGATAAGGCCAGATCAGGGCTATATTTGTATAATAGAAAAGGGGAAAATGCTAGGAAAAAACAAAGTTCTTCACACTTGAACATCAGGTAGATGGATAGAGATGAATGGATGACTCAGAAAGTTCCAGGTAGCGATGTACTTAATACCTAATGATCTTTTGAGGTATCTTAAAACTCTCTGTATGCTCCATTTGATTTTTTCAGAATAATTTCATCCTTGGGAATTACTCTCAGTGGTGCTCTGTGCATTCTCTGAGGGCCAAGCAAAGGAGTGGACAGTTGTGTGACCTGGGAGATGAGAGAGGCATGGCACGAAAGCTACTGGAATGCAGTCTCAGTGACAAGCTGTGTGGTAAGGACAGACACCACAGATGCCTATCTTCTGATTCTAGGATGACAGAGACGAAGGTCTGCATAGATTCTAGGAGAATGAGTTGACTTCTAGTAGAAATGAAGACGGTGTTCATAAAGGAATGGGCACTCGAGGTCATTGTCTTTGAAGAGGGACAAGTGCCAGTCAGAGATCCAGATACTGCATCCTTCACCTCAGCAGGAAAAATGAGAGATGAGACACAGAGCACCCTTGATAGGCTGAGAAGTGGGGACACTGGGCTTTCTGATTAGAGAGCTGCTCCCAGTAGTGGTGCCATTGTATGGAAGTGGAGGGGAAGAAGGAAGAAATGATCATTTCACGTATGAGGGTGGGTGAAGGACTACCCACTGTGTGGGTAGGGGAAGTTGTGTGGACATCAGATTGGGGTTCTTCTTCAATCTCTCCTCCTCCTGCTTGATTTCCTACCCAGTTGTCCGGGAGCAGCAGTATGAGATCATCATCATCCCAACCATTCTGGTTGGCACTTTCCTTATCCTTCTTGCAGTCATCCTGTGGCTTTTTATCAGAGGACAAAGAGCTCAACAACAGTCTCCTGGACTCCAAGGTAAAACTCAAATTGGGGCTGGGAGAAGGGCTGGGGAAAATAGAGATTACAGAAAGTAAGACCCAAGTCTCAATGAGCCCAAGTCTAGAAGGTGAGGTCCCTGCTATGGAAGAGGAGGTATGGGGCCCCTCTTGTGGAGCTGAGGGGAGGTGAGCTCTTCTCTAGGAAGTCATGAGTAGAAACTCAGTATATGCTTGTTAGTTGAAACAACCTTAGGCAAGAGAGGCTTCATGTGACCTGTTTCTATCTTCTTTGTCCTACTGCACTATCAAATATTTGGCCATGTGAGTGTCTACATATTGGGGAGGAAGATTAGTGGGTAAAAGCCCAAGGCTTTGTTACCAGCCTCAAAGGATGACATTTACTCTGTAATAGATCCCAGCCCTCCTCTGTGCTCCTGGACTATATGATGAAAAAGGGTAGCCTTCATAGCAGTCTTTGAAGCATTAAGTAGGAGATAATATCCTGTTCTGAAGTACCAGTGAGCATATAATGAAAATGAATTAGCTTACATGAAACTAAGAGTAAAGAGAAGAAAAAAAGAATCATGACAGTGATCAGAAACTGTTTAGTGGCTGATCCCCATTCCCTCTCTAAATGGTAATTGGGTGATGGGCATTAAGGAGGGCACTTGATGTAATGAGCACTGGGTATTATAAGCAACTGATGAATCACCAAATTCTACCCCTGAAATTAATAATGCACTATATGTGAACTAAATTGAATTTAAATAAAACACTTAAAAAATTATCCCAATTCTCTTCTAATTCACTTCCAGAAAAACTTCTCAGAGAAGTTGTCTAAACTCACTCTCATGACTTCTACTTGTCACATTCTCTTTCGAACATACTAAAATAAGGCTTTTATCCCCACCATTCCACCAAAACAATTCTTTCCGAGATTGCCGATAACAGCTATATTGAATCCTCTTCTTAACCTGTCAAAAGCATTTGGAACAATTATGCACCTTCTCCTTCTTGAAACACTTTATTTTCCTTTTAAACCTATAGTCACTCCCTTAATGGTCTCATTTTCAGTCTTATGGATTCAAACCCTTTCTCTATTCTAACTGTAGTCCCCTTGAAATCCAGATTCCTATATTAAACCACTTATTTTGCAGTTTGGATCCAATACACATCTCATATATAATATGCCCACAGCAAAGGTCCTGAAGTTCCCTCACAAATGTCCTCTGGTTTTCTATGAAGTGTTCAGTCTAAAATCTTGCAGATGTCCTTGACTCCTCTTTCTCTCATACTTTGTATCCAATCCATTAGCAAATCCTGTTAACTCTATCTTTAGAAGAAACTCAAGCCTCTCTCATCTCTCATAGATCGTTGTAATACATTCCTAACTGGTTTCCCTACTTCTCTCCTGGTCCCTTTATGGTTCTCCACAGGACAGCAGAATGATTCTTTTAAGGCCTAAGTCAGTCCTGATCATTCTCGGCTTGGGATAAAATAAAATATAATTTTTTTTTAGAATAAAAAAAGACAAAATTCTTCCAATGACCTTCCATGTGCTGGGCCCTCTCTGGCCTCATCTCGTATGATTCTCCAATTATCCCACATGGTTCCAGCTGTACTAACTTCATTTCTCTTCCTCAAATATGCCAAGTATGCTTCTTCCTCAATACCTCTGCTCTTCCTGTTCCCTCTGTCTGTAATATCCTCCCTGATACCAGTATGGTTTGCTCTCTAATTGCTTCCAGGCATTTCTCAAATGTTCATCCTATTAGAAAGGACTGTCCTGGCCTTGAAATATAAAATAGCATCACAGATAGCCTCTGATTCTGCTATTTTCCTTTATAACACTCATTTCCTGGTATGTTATTATCTGTTTCCCCTCTCCCCTACCACTAGAAAGTAATCATAAGAATCTGGGCTTTGCCGGGCGCCTGGGTGGCTCAGTTGGTTAAGCGACTGCCTTCAGCTCAGGTCATGATCCTGGAGTCCCAGGATCGAGTCCCACATCGGGCTCCCTGCTCAGCAGGGGGTCTGCTTCTCCCTCTGACCCTCCCCCCTCTCATGCTCTCTGTCTCTCATTCTCTCTCTCGCAAATAAATAAAATCTTAAAAAAAAAAAAAAAAGAATCTGGGCTTTGCCTATTCCCAACACCTAGAACAGTTCCTGGAATGCAGGATGTGATATTTGCCAAATAAACTGATAGATTAATGAATGAATGGAGGTTTAATGAGAAGAATGAATTTCTCTTTTCCAATGGAGAAAAACTGACTAAGAAAAGGGGAAAGTACCAGAAGATTTTTTTGACTGAGACTCTGGGAAATATGCAGTTTGACTTTGGGGACATCTTAAGGGAGGAAGAATAGGCACAGCTTAGAGTTGAGTAGTTATCCATACCTTCCCTCCACCTTTAAAAGCCATTTGATTGACTTAAGCATTAGTCCCTACTGGTAGTTACCACCACGTTTCAGGTATCTGTGGTTTGAGTACCAATTCAGGAACTTCCTTAATTGTTTCCATACTAATACTGAACTGTAATCCTGAGAAAAGTAGAAAGAAAATGTCATTACCACTTTCCAGAGGTCCATCTTGAGTTGTCTTAGAAGGAATAGGGTTATTATAAAAGTTTTACAAGGTTGGTATTGATGCTGGTTCACAGAAGGTATCCCCACATCGGGCAGAGAGAAAATTGCTAAAGGAACTTCCTTGCCAGTGTGTTCCAGGCTCTGCTTTCCTGGAGTCCCTAGGGTAGGGAAAAGATGATTGGTATCATCTCTTTGTTCTAGGCATTGCCCCTGTGCCTCCATCTAGGGGCCTAAGCTGGAAGGCAGGAGGACATGGAGGAAGTGTGTTTGTGCCACTTAAGGAGACATCGGTGGAAAGCCTCCTACGAACTACCACTCATGCTCTGGCTAAGCTGCAAGTGCCCCGGGAGCAACTCTCTGAAGTTCTGGAGGAGATCCACAATGGTAGTTGTGGGGCCATCTATCGAACCAAGATGTATACTGGGGACCCAGCTAAGCCAAAGAGTGTTGTCCTCAGGGTTTTGAAAGGTAAAAGAAGTGTTTGAGTTCCCTTTCCCTTTTTTACTTTTCCATTGTGAGCCCCCAGCCATGAATGCTAACAAGCTTATAGACATTAAGATGTTAATCAACAAATAGCTGTGATCACAATTGTGAGCAGAGTAAGAAAGGGATAGAAAGTGAAAACTTGAGACAGAAATGTTTTTCTTGGGGTTTTTCCCTAGCTCAGTGTTGCCTGTTGAGGTTGCTAGAACTGATTTTTTCATACTGGATATTAGTGCATGTGGATTTTGAGGTTGTTCCTTCATTTATCTGCACTATCACTTTCCCTAATATTGTTTTCTTTCTTTCTTCCTCTTTCCTTTCTTTCCTTCCTTCTTTCTTTCTTTCTTTCCTTCCTTCCTTCCTTCCTTCCTTCCTTCCTTCCTTCCTTCCTTCCTTCCTTCCTTCCTTCCTTCCTTCCTCTTTTCTTTTTTTCTCTTTATATGGACAGAACAAGGATAGGATAAGCACGAATACTAATCAAAAGGCCTAGGCAGTGATAATATTTGAATGTGAGCACTTGTCTATTTAGGCAAATGAGAGTCTATCCAGTTCTAAGGCCTATGATTCTCTGTTTGTTTTGACAAGAAAAAAAATCAGTGACCTTGAGAATTATCTTCTAATTAGTTCCCTTTCTCTTTACTTTCTGTCTATACTTATTCTCCTTTGGAGTCTTGAAAATTACCATCTGAGGTTGCTTCCTCCCTCATAGCTCCCATTTTACTGGTGATGTTCTGACTGCTTCCCATGGTTCATCTGTCCTCCACAGAACCGGCTGGCCTCCACGAGGTGCAGGATTTCTTAGGGCGAATCCAGTTCTACCAGCACCTGGGGAAGCACGAGAACCTGGTGCAGCTGCAAGGCTGCTGCACAGAGGAGCTGCCGCTCTATATGCTGCTGGAGGATGTGGCCCAAGGGGACCTGCTCAGCTTTCTCTGGACCTGTCGGCGGGTGAGCAGCAGGGCAGAGGCATTAGGAAGGAAAGGCTTGACCTGGCTCATTAGCTGGTCACATGTCAAATAGCCTGGCAAACGACCAAGCAGAGAGACATTATAGGAACATAATAATGATTGAGTATCACCATCCCATAGAACTTTTTATGATGGCAGAAAAATTCTCTATCTGCTCTGTTCAAAATGGTAGCCACTAATCACATGCGGCTATGGAGCACTTGAAATGTGGCTGATGTGACTGGGAAATGGAATTTTTAAAATTTCATTTAGTTTTAAATAATAAACTTCTCAACAGCCACATGTGGCTAATGGCTATCATAGTGGGCAGTGCAGATTTAGGGCATGAACTCTCGGCTTTATATCCTACGAGCTGTGTGACTTTGGGCAAGTCTTCCCTCTGAGCCTGAATTTTCAGCATCTGTACAATGGGAATAATAATAAGTTATTATTAAAATTAACAGAAATTATGCATGTAAAAACTATTGTTAGTATTGACTGTAATTTTATCGCTGTTAGCCTTAAATGTGTCTTCTATTCCGTAACATCCCTCTAGTATGCCAGGGTTGATGAGGAGACATTCAGCTTGAAAGTTTTTGTACTTCAAATTCATATTTAAAAAAATGTAAATGTGTAGAAATTTCCAGGCTAAAGTGCAAGTCCTCTTGCTTGCAGTTTTTCTGCTTCTCTACATATTCCTCTTTCTGAAGTACTGCATGTTTCCCTAGTTAGTTCCTCACTTACCAATGAACAAGTTCAATATTAATCAAGCCTCCTCAAAAGACTGATTACTTTACCGCTAAATGTGTATGATAAAGGGACCCTGTTAATGCCTTACATCCAGTGGTGCAAATGGGACAATGTGCAAGTCTTTAGGCATTTAAGCCTTTGTAAGAGGTTATTTATTCATCTGTAACTTGTTCTCTGCTCTAACTTCGCTATTCTATTTTTTAAAATGATTATGCTTCTCTATTTTAGACCATTTACACATGCTTCTCTCATTACACCAAACTTCTCCCTTTCCTTTTTTTTGCATAGTCATTGTCCAGCCATCCTTCAGATCTTTTTTTGTCACCATCATATGCTCTCTTTTTCATCTCCTTCATGGAGCTTATAGATATGTAACCATATATTTATGTATGATTATTTGATTCTGATGTCACACTTTAAGTTCCAGAAGGCAGCAGACATGTTTATTTTGCTCACTCTTGTGTTCTGAGTTCCTAAGATGGAACCTGGCACATAGTAGTCATTCAATAATGTGTTGAGTTAATGTGCTTAATTAATCACACACACATAGTGCCCCAGGAAAATTGTTGCTTTATCCAGGGGATAGTCTTATGATATCTGTCTTTCCTACCTGCTATTCTGTTCTTCCTTCATTCTGTTATTTATCTACATTCTTTATTGTTTTTTTTAGGTCAGTCTATCATTGTACTTCTTTGCATATCTGAGAATCTCTCATATTAGCCTCTCCTTGAATCTTCATCCCTACGTTTTTGTATCTTTGCCTTGATATCTGCATTTAAGAATATCTCTGCCCCTATTTTATTTTTTAGATCTGTTCATGTCATTTTGATGTCATGTTTTTTCTTTGGCTCTTTAGGATGTGATGACCATGGATGGCCTTCTCTATGATCTCACAGAAAAACAAGTATATCACATCGGGAGGCAGGTCCTCCTGGCTTTGGTAAGTCTGGGAAAAATGACAACAGATGGTATGGATTTTTCTTGTTAGTCTGATATTTGACATCACATTTCTCATATTTATATTTCCAAATGGGGTATAGATTATAAAGAAAATCAGATGGAAGTTAAGGGTCAGAAGCTCAAGCACTGATAAATTGTTTTCAGTTCTTTCTTTATGAAATTATTTAGATAATATACACAGGATTGGTAATTCTAGGCAGAAAGTCGTCAACTTAGGCTTTGTAGAAGGAACAGGAAGGATTTTAAAAGGTTTCTCAGTCTTAAAGGTCAAAAACCAGGGCCAAGAGTTATATGCTTGACACTCTTCCTTCCCCATATACACTAATATTAAGAGATGTAAAATGGCAAATAGCGAGCGAGTTGGGAGGAGACACGGGAAGAGAAACCAAATGGGTGAAAGGCTGCAGAGCTAGATGGAAGTGCACAATTTTATGCCTGAAAAACAAGAAAGACGAGCTCAGAACACATTTCACTGGAGACTTGCTTTGATACTGAATGTGATAGGAAATACATATACTTTAAAAAGAACAAGGAACATGGAAAAAAAGAAATAAGGGGCAACAGTGAGATCATTCCTTCATTTAAACCAACTTAAATAAAGAGGTAAGAGAAAAAAAGGGTTTAAGAGGAAAAAAAAATGTACCTTTACCAGAATTAGTCAAGAAATTTAGATGACAATTTCTATGAAGTTATTTAGATAACTTTACTTAAAATTAGCATTTGCTATATAGAAAATCAGGCTCTGTGAAGCTACTATTTTAAGTATTTGATATATCTTGCCTCCTTGAGGTGTGAAATGTACTAGGGATCTAAATGGAATCTGGGAAAGCTTAGAAAAGAAGCAGTGAGGTGAAAAGGAGCAGTAGTTACAGCCGAAGTTCCCATGGGGCACAAGGAGAGAGCACGTCGTAGAAATGAGTATTATCTACAGTGTTTGGAGGTCCTAGTTGGTATACTCCCTTGATAAAGTTAGGGTGTCAGGACACAGCCTACCTTGTATTGTGAACCATAATTGCAGTGGTGCCCCACAGAGATGCATTGATCAGGGCTCTGGGTTACCAGTTACAAGGCATTGTCATACTATTTTTTTTTTTTTTCTTACTTTGACAACCTCAAAGTCACTACATTCTTTATTCTTCTCAGGATAGTATAATTTCTTCGTTTAAAACCTCACCTCACCAGGGACAGAAAGCTGCTAGTTACTGTTTCCTTCATCATCAGTGACTGGAAATGACCATCTTAAACGCCCCGCCCCCTTTTTTTATGTCATTCTTATTTAGCAATCGTAGACCTCAATCTCTAGCTCCTTGGTCATGTATAGCTTTTCAACTTCTTATGCCTTGAATAGCCTGATGTTGGGGGAATGATTGCAGCAAATCATTGTCATCCAGGCGCAATGGTTTTCAAATGCTTTGTTGGTTGTGCTAGAATCATTGTGATACTTCTTAAAAATAGAGATTACTAGGTTATTCTCCCTAGATTTTGGTTAAGTAAAGCTGGGGCAAAAATCATAAGTTTTTAAAAAGCTCTCAGGCAATTCTGATTTGTAGGCTGGCTTGAGAATTATTAGAATTTGTAATTCTGGGCACCTGGGTGGCTCAGATGGTTAAGCGTCTGCCTTCGGCTCAGGTCATGATCTCAGGGTCCTGGGATCGAGTCCCGCATCAGGCTCCCTGCTCCTTGGGAGCCTGCTTCTCCCTCTGCCTCTTTCTCTCTCTCTGTCTCTCATGAATAAATAAATAAAAAAATCTTTAAAAAAAAAAAAAAGAATTTGTAATTCTAATTCCTATGAATTAGAATACCTGGTTCTGGTCACTACCACTCCAAACTGTGTGACCTGATGTAATCATTTAGATTTATCTGACCTAGTTATTTTAGGGACAAAATGAGATGATATAAAGCTCTGTGTAAATTCATTATTATGACACTCAATTTCACTATGTATATATTACCTTGTTTGGGGGACTGCTGCTAGAAACTTGAAACCTGCTTCCTTTTCCAGGGTGTAGCTGGATCCTATCTGAGAGAAATGTAAATTCAGGCAGGGGTCAGAGCTTGACACAGAATGGGTGATCATACTTTCCAAACCCACTATTAATGCTGTTTGGATTATTTGCTCAGTTTGGTAATCCTAAACATAATGCAAAAATGTCTGATTCATTATGGTGACTTGGAAGTGATATGTCATTATCAATGAGACTTGTTCAGAGTTGAAAATGTCCTTGTCTTTTTGAGGATTCCTAGGACTGCTTCTTTTTGTCTGTGACTCGAGCCATGAACTCAGACAGCTGATCCATCTTTGATCTTGTGCTTACAGGAATTTCTCCAGGATAAGCATCTGTTCCATGGGGATGTGGCAGCTAGGAATATCCTGATCCAAAGTGATCTTACTGCTAAGCTCTGTGGACTGGGCCTAGCTTACGAAGTCCATGCCCGAGGGGCCATCCCGGCTACTCACAACGTACCTCTCAAGTGGCTCGCCCCAGAACGGCTTCTGCTGAGACAAGCTGGCATCAGAGGAGACATGTACGGTTTGTTCCTGCCCTTTGGACTTCTTCCCTTCTTGACCTAGATGTCCCCCAGTTCCTGACCATGACTGTATCTGTTGTCAATTATGTCTACATGTGAAATCTCTACCTAGAAGTCAGACAGACTCTCCAGGAGAAATGTGTGTTTTGTGACAGAGCTCATATTTGACATCTGGCTGCAATCCTTTTTAGTGCCTTTTAAAGTATTCCTTCTGTATTAGATTAGCAGCCTTAATCAGAAAAGAGAAAAGTGAAAAGATTATTCATACCAATATCCAAGGACTTAATCTAGTAGATTCCCTTTTATCTGAAGGAGGTGGGTCCACTTAATCAAAAGTTCAGTTAAACCAGGAATTATTAGAATAAAAAGAAATATACATACTTTGAATAATTTACTTTGACTTAAAACATATAAATGTACATTTATTGATTGATCTTTTGGGGGAGGGCCAAAGCCTTTTTTATGAGGACTGACCTGCTAAGTGAAGTTATACACTGTATTTCTTGTATAAATAGCATCCATAACACATTATTTTTGAGTTTCAGCTTGGGATGATTTTGAGTGAGAAATCTGAAAAAAAATGGTGAAGCAATTTGACTGCAGACGTTTATTATTATTTTTTCCAATTTCCTACTGTTGGGCTCACCCACACAATTTGACAACGCTTTCTTTTTAGCAGTGTATCTTTATAGAATACTTTCAAAGCATTCAACCTAGTTTTCAGGAGCTAATACTTTTTGCATTTATATTTAATTGATTACATAATTGCATTGATGCATCTGATGGTATAAACAGTACTGGAAAGAATCACAACTGACTTTCGGTAACCATATAATTCAGCAGCTTGGCGAAGCACATAGATGTAACATATAATATCTTACTAGTATTAATGTCATGAGCAGCAGAGGAAATTTAGAACATCAGTTAATACGGTGAGTCAATTAAGAGATTTCCATTGCTGCCTCACTGACATCTGCTTTTCAGTAGAGGTCTGGGAGTAATAAGCTTAACTGGGAAATACTGCTCGTTTAATGTGGTTTATAGAATAGTGAAATTAACATGTCTTAAATCATATTGCTGTGGCAAATATCTATTCTCATTATATGTAAAGCTTGTTTTGTTAATATTTTTCCTAGGTTTGGACAGTTAGATCTATTGAGGAAATAGTAGATAAATGATAAACCTCCCTGAGACTTGTGCTAAGTTACTAAAGGCTAGAATTTCGGCAGGAATGAATGGAAAGGATGAAAAAGATGCGGAAGGTAATTTCTTTATGTTTGGGTAGATGTGTTTGTGTGTTTCCATAAACACACATACACACAATTCAGCAAATGATAGTAAACATCTATTAATGTGAAATATAGAAGAAAGGAGACATAAATCCAGTCTGTAAAGAGATTAGACTTGAAGGGGATTGAACAGAAATGCTTTCTAATTACTTTGCTTATGTTATGAGACACCTTTAATTCCCCTTCATTGCCTTTATAGGGTTCTTACTGAAGGCCCCTGATAGTTTAAGTGAGCTCTCTTTAGGAAAGGCAGAAATATAAATTAAGTAAATGGCTTTGTTTCTTTCACAGCTGGTCCTTTGGGATCCTGCTTTATGAGATGGTGACTCTAGGTAAGGAGGGTCCCTAAGGTAGTACCTGTATGCAAATATACAAGTATGTTTATTTGGGCGGGAGATGGCATATGCTATGGGAAGAGGTTTCAGTATGATCTCTGAGGTTTGAACTGGGCTGATATGAAATCCCTCTCCTCCTTTTAACTTTTTTTTTTTTTTGCTTTCTTTTTCTTTTTTTCCCTCAACACTTTACTAATTCCAAAAGAGGTTTTAAAATCCAAAGAATAATTCCAAGAATGATTTTGTATAAACATAAATATGTTGTCCTTAGATTTATAAACCTATCTGATAGCGAAAATACAGTACTTTCCCATGTTTGGGGAGTGGAGGGCAGGTCTCATTTCTCATTTTGCTCTGTTACTTTTGTAAAAACTCAACATTTTCCTAAATTATCAGTTTTTTTCCTCCCAAACACCTTTTTTTTTTTACTCCAAAACTCTCTAAGCTATATTCTTACTTGATCACCAGGGAGCAACTATATTGTATCTAGCATTTTTCCTTTGGCTCTACCTTTTGCAGGCAGTTAGCCCAGGTGGATGTAGAGTCATGTTATAGTTCATATTCTAGAGGACCTAATATTCCCTTGCTACTCTCATTTTTTTCATACCAACAGGGGCACCACCATATCCTGAAGTCCCTCCTACCAGCATCCTACAACATCTCCAAAGAAGGAAAATAATGAAGAGACCCAGTAGCTGCACACATACCATGTAAGCAGTTTTTAGGGTCTACTCTTCTCTCATTGCAACCTCTTTTTGATCCCCATCAATCGTGCCCTTTTAAAGTGGCTCAGATAATCCCTAGCTGTCCTTTATATGCTAATACACAGCCTTAGACACACCTATGCAGTAAAATACATCTGCTCATATATCATATATACTTATATATGTATGTATGTATGTATATGTGTGTGTATACACACAAAAACACTCAGTGTTGAGGCAACAACTGAAAACTGTATTAGGAATCTAAGTTGATAAAGTTTAGTTCTTCCAGAAGCTTCTAAGTGGACCAAATCCAATGTAAATACAGTAGTGTTTTGCTTGTCTAAATGTCAGTATCAGTCAGAGACTGCCAGCCTCAGTTGTAATATCGCTGCCATAAAAATCCATTGCTCTAGAGTTTTTTTTTTTTTTAAGATTTTATTTATCTGTCAGAGAGAGCACAAGCATGGGGAGTGGCAGGCAGAGGGAGAAGCAGGCTCTCCGCTGAGCAGAAAGCCCGACGTGGGACTCGATCCCAGGACTCTGGGATCTTGACCTGAGCCGAAGGCAGATGTTTAACTGACTGAGCCACCCAGGCGTCCCTCCATTGCTCTAGAGTTACTCACTGGCTCTTATTTAGTATTTAACTTTTAAAAAATATTGACTATTTTTCCAGGTCTGAGCAAATTAGAAGCCAACCAGAAGGGGGTAGAAAGAAATTAGAAAGATAGGAGAAGGAGTATCCAATAATGTCAGCAGAAGGGGACAGCTGATGAGCTAGTGCAGAGGCAGAAAATGGAAAAATTAAAAATTATACACAGAATTTTATAACCTATAAATTACAAAAAGGGATTGTTATAGAATATAAGAAAAGGTTAAAATATTTATAAGAAGTCAGGGGAGAATATATTAATATAAATTTCTCATAAAATTATTGCTATTTTATAAATTTTTCAGCATTAAAAGGGTAAATTTCCATCACCCTAGTTCCCCACCAATAAAGTTACTGTATCAAGCATATTATAAATGTTAAATATCATAACTATATACATTTATATATATACACACTCACACACATGCATGTATATAATATAATAATACTGCCTGGGTATACTGGAATGATTGTTGAAAAATATTTCTTGTAGGCTTTTTCTATGTGTAAAAATCTGTCCTTTATTTTGGGGGAGGGGAGACACTTAACCAATAAAGTATACAATCTTGAAGAATTTAATATTTGGGTGAGGAGATATCTAAAACAACCTGAAAATCAACTTAAAGTGGGAGGCAACATAAAAGAAGGATTAAAAGCTCAGACTCACATCACAGGGTCAAAAAAACACATGTCCACTCCTAGTCCTGTTGCTTTACTGAACATTGTTTACTTACCTGAAAATAGGTATAATGATAATCATACCTCTACGTTATTGTGAGGCTAAAATAAAATAATGCATGTTAAGTTCCACTACCATGCCTTATAAAACAAGTAAGTTCTTGCTACATGTTATCAGGGTTATTAAATTAGCATCTTTTACACAGTCTCACTGTACAATAGTAAAGAGTGTGGGAGACTCAGCGTGGGCTGAGGCTTATAAGGGAAGGCTGCATAGAAGGATTGAGATCTAAAACAAGCCCGCAGGACATGACGACCATCGAGAGGATGCTCAAGGAATCGGGCATAGCATGAGCAAAGACAGAGTTGGGTGTTAACAACCACATCAGAGGCATAGCAAGACATTGACTTGGCTGGAGGAGAGGGGTTCAGTTAGGCAAGGTCTCTGAGGCAGAGAAGCTAGCAGGTAGGATGTCGGTTTTACACGGCAGACTGTGGGAAACCACTGTAGGTTCTTGAGAGGGATGAGACATGACAAGAAGTGTTCGATAAGAGACTACATTATTAATTCTTTGTAAACTGGATTGAAGAAAAGACAGCTTAAAGGTGGTGAGTACTTTTGTCTAGATTAAGGCAATTTCTTGGAGAAGCTAAATAATAAAAGAGGGCAATGACCTGGATTAATGAAAGGAAACATCTAATTAATTAGATTATTCAAAATTAGTGTGAATCATATTATTCCATAACTTCTTATTTTGTTGGCTGCGAGGTAGCTTTTACTGGGAGATACCTTATAGCAATGGTGGGGAATGCTACAAGTGAGTAATATCTAAAGGATGAGAACACTTAACTTCTGAGAGTTTTGGGCAATAGAAAGAAAAACTTGTTCTGTCATACTGATTCTAGTTTGAGAAATCTTCAGTCGTTCTTCTTATAAAAAGGGCCCTGATGAGAAGACGATATTAAGTGATTTAATACTAAGAGGATAAGAAGGAATATTATTCTCTGGAAAAACAGGAGAGGACAGTGAGAAGTAGATGAATGACTGCGGGTTTTTTTATTGTTGTTGTTGTTAAGGTGTGTTAGGCGAAGAGACAACGTTCCTCAAACATTTGCCTTGTCAAGGAAGTCAGTTTCTCTTGTTTCCCTCTCAGGTATGGTCTTATGAAGTCCTGCTGGCGCTGGAGTGAGGAGAGCCGCCCCTCACTTAAAGAGCTACACTCACGCCTAGAAATCGCCGCTCGAACTGCAAATGACAAAGCTGTGTTGCAAGTACCCGAGTTGGTGGTGCCTGAACTGTATGCAGCCGTGGCAGGTATCAGCATGGACAGCCTCTCCTACAGCTACAGCATCCTATGAAGATCTTGGGGAAAGAAACATTTATGAGTGATCATATACTATTGGAATGGATTCCTCCGAGAACAGAGAATAGCTTTCTAGTGGGACATAAAGGGACAAATAGGATATTCCCCTACACATTTCCCTAGATACCCAAAATGATGCCAGATGAGGCTCTACACTCCATATACCCTGGAGACTGAGAAGTATAGTTTCATTTCTGCTGTCCCAATCCTGAAGACCCACAGTAGACGTGGTGGATAGTACCATTGCAAAGAAAATCTTAGAAATCCACGTTTGTCTGGCATTGCACAAACAAGCTGGTCCTCCCACCACAGACTGGTTTCCTCTTGAAGCATGCTTTCATCTAGATTATAGAGTCCAGAGAAGTTGGGAGTCAACTGATGGAATAAGGAGCCGGAAAAGAAGTTGATGAGAAAGAAAATCAAAAGGTTCTATTTGCTCAGGAGTACAGACGTGGACCAAGGTCATCCTTCAAAGAGAAGGTGGAGGAAGGAGATAAAGTTCTTCAGTCCTGGTCCGTTCATGCAGGACTGGAGGAGGACCATGTAGGAAAACTTCAGAGTTTCCTTTTGGGTATAGATAAGAGGTAGATAGTCTCTTTTTATCTAATTATGAGACAAGTGAACTTGGCTGGAACTACTTTTAACTAGAAGCTGGAGAGGTCCATTCACGATTAAGAACATTCAACAGCTATTGTTCATCAGACTAGCTTCCTGGTCCCCATAAAACTAGGGAGACTGAGCCTAGAGAGCCCATTAGGCTGTGATGAATATACAGTTGACCCTTGAACAACATAGGTTTGAACTATGTGGGTCCACTTATACATGGAGTTTTTTTCTTGATAAATGCAGTGCAGGCCTGTAAATGTATTTTCTCTTCCTTATGATTTTTTTTTTCTAGCTTAATTTACTGTAAGAATACAGAATGTAATACATAGAACATACAAAATATGTGTTGACTGTTTATATTTTTGGTAAGGCTTCTGGTCAACAGTGGCTATTACTAGTTAAGTTTTGGGGGAGTCAAAGTCATATGCAGATTTCTTTTTTTTTTTAATTTATTTGAGACAGAGAGAACGAGAGAGAGAGCACATGAGAGGGGGGAGGGTCAGAGGGAGAAGCAGTTTCCTTGTGAGTAGGGAGCCCGATGCGGGACTCGATCCAGGGACTCCAGGATCATGACCTGAGCCGAAGGCAGTCACTTAACTAACTGAGCCACCCAGGTGCCCCAAGATTTTATTTATTTATTCATGAGGGACAGAGAGAGAGAGAGAGAGAGAGAGAGGCAGAGGGAGAAGCAGGCTCCCAAGGAGCAGAGACCCCGATGCGGGACTCGATCCCAGGACCCTGGGATCATGACCTGAGCTGAAGGCAGACGCTTAACCATCTGAGCCACCCAGGCACCCTATACGCAGATTTCTGACTGTGCAGGGTTCGGCACACTTAATCCCTGTGTAGTTCAATGTACTATGTACTATGTGTGTATTTAATAAGTAGGAAATGTGAAAGCCAAGCAAGAATGCTTAGTAGTCCAGAAGGTCTTTAAAAGGGTTAGAAAAGGATGTAATCTGAGACAGAAGGATGGTAGCTTCTGACTCAATCATTCGTTGATGTACTGTGAAACTTTATTTCATTAAATTAATATTTATTGAGTAAAGTAGGATTTTCTAGTATACAGCTGCCAAATCTCTACAATAGGATAAAAGTAAATAAATGGAAGTTAATGTCAACAGAAAAATTCAGGAGACAATCTGCATTGTCAGAAGACTGGTTCCTCAGGTGTAAAGTGGGGATAATACCTACCTACCTCACAGGGTTGTTGTGAGGACTGAACAAGAATATATGTTTGTACAGTATTTGGCTCATATGTGCTCAGTAAATGGTAGTTTCCTTTCTTTTTGCCCCACCTATCCTAGAATCTTTCATATCTTTTTCATTTAAAATCTACTGTAGCCAGGGGTGCCTGGGTGGCTCAGTCGTTGGGCGTCTGCCTTCGGCTCAGGTCATGATCCCAGGGTCCTGGGATCGAGCCCCACAACGGGCTCCCTGCTCCCCGGAAAGCCTGCTTCTCCTTCTCCCAGTCCCCCTGCTTGTGTTCCCTCTCTCGCTATGTTTCTGTCAAACAAATAAATAAAATCTTTAAAAAATAATAATAAAATCTACTGTAGCCAGAAAGAGAACCTCAGTCTGTCAGTCACACCTCAAGGCAGGACATACTGAAGGATGGCCTGGTACAAGTACCACATGACTAAAATAATGAGCTCATCACTTTTTTTTTTTTAAGATTTTTTTCATTTATTTATTTGAGAGAGAGAGAATGAGAGAGAGCACATGAGAGGGGGGAGGGTCAGAGGGAGAAGCAGGTTCCTTGCTGAGCAGGGAGCCCGATGCGGGACTCGATCCAGGGACTCCAGGATCATGACCTGAGCCGAAAGCAGTCGCTTAACCAACTGAGCCACCCAGGCGCCCTGAGCTCATCACTTTTGTATGAGCTTCTGGATGATGACAGTAGCCTTCTACAATTTGAAAATACTGAAAATATGGTGATGACAATGTCCTTGAACATGTGATCTATGGTTTTACTTTTTTATTTTTCTTATTATGTTCAGTTAGCCACTGTATAGTATGTCATTAGTTTTTGATGTAGTGTTCACTGATTCATTAGTTAAGTATAACTAACCCAGTGCTCATCCCAGCATGATCTATGGTTTTAAAGAACACTCTGGGTGCTCTGGGAGGGACACCGAAGGCTGCTATAGAAAGTTGACTGGCAGTTGACAATTTTGTAGAAGTCGGAATCTGAATGAGGTCATGATTAGTCATCCAGCTGAATAATGATTCTTGCCCCGGTAGGAGTACCACATGACTAGTAAGGATTTAAGGGGGTGTTAAGTTGCAATAGGGAGAAGGGAGGTACAGCGCTTGGCACAAAATGATAAAGTCCTATGGAATCTCATTGTTGTTGCTTGTCTGTTCACGTAAGTCAAATTTACAAAATATTTATGTATTAATTCAAATATTTAAAAAAAAGGTGAGTGTTAGGGCCAACTGTGCCAGGCACTGTTCCAGATGTTGGATAAAACAGAGAGCTTTTGATTACAGTCTAGAAAGTAAGAGACTTTAGGTATATGTTTGTGTGGGTATAATTACAAATTGTGGTAAGTGCTACGAAGAAAAACTACGGGATAGTAAAAAGAAATGTAAAATGAGGACCTCCCTGAAGAAATGGCATTTAAACACAGACCTTTTTTTTTTTCCTAAAGATTTTATTTATTTATTTGACAGAGAGACACATCGAGAGAAGGAACACAAGGGGGAGTGGGGAGAGGGAGAAGCAGGCTTCTGCTGAACAGGGAGCCCGACCTGGGATCATGACCTGAGCCACCCTGGTGCCCCTAAACTCAGACCTTACGGGTAGGTAAGCAAACCTGACAAAGAGTGAGAAGAAGAGCCATCTGGGAGAGGGAAGTGGGGCTATATGTGTGAAAACTCTGGGGCAAGGAAAAAGGCATAAATTGTTTGAGGAACTGCAAGTCGGCAAGTGGATGGGGGCACAGTGAGGTTAGGAGGAAAGTGGTACATAATTAATCAGAGCATTGCTCTTTCATACTGTATGTTAATAGTTGTTTTGGTAGGAGGGAAAGCAGCAGACAATTGCTATTTAAAAATTTTACCCTTAATTTTATTTGTTTTTCTGGATATAGGTTTAGAAAAATGGATACAGTGATTATTTATTCTAAGAAAACTGGGTCTTTCCCATTACTTGGCCAGGCTTTCTCCAAAAGGGGGATTATATTTTTGGCATTTTAACTGGTCAGCCAAACCAGGTATGTCTGAGCTAATGAGTGGAAAAGAGAATAAAAATATTTACCATTCAATTAAGTTTAATCTGGGCTAGGATTTGTTTTATTGTTTTGATTCCACCCTCCCCGGATCTTGTTTTTCCAATTTATGCTTTATTGTTTAAAAAAGCCTCTAACATAGCTAGGAACTGAGCAAACACGCACCTGGATACAGTGTCTAACTGAAAGTTGAAAATGTAGTTTAACTTAGAATAGTCTGAACCAGTAGTTTCAAATCACACTCATGCAGAACACTAGTGTTTTTCATGGTAGATTTAGGTGTTTTGTTATTAAAATTGAATAATTTTTTCACTTTTTTTTTAAAAGATTTTATTTAGTCATTCGAGACACAGAGATACAGAGAGAGAGAGAGCACGAGCAGGGGGAGAGGCAGAGGGAGAAGCAGGCTCCCCACTGAGCCAGGAGCCAGACGTGGGGCTCGATCCCAGGACCCCTGAGATCATGACCTGAGCTGAAGGCAGACGCTTAACCGTCTGAGCCACCCAGGTGCCCCAATTTTTTCACTATTTTTAAAGAAAAAGTAAACTAGTAGATAGAATCTTCTTAATCTTAACTTTGCTGTAATAATTTTTATTAAATTTTTGCTTTATCTTATAGCTCATTTAAACAAATGAGTATGGCAAATACAATGGAAAAGTGGGAGGGTAGCCTATTATATTTAATCTAGAGACTGTTTTTACTTGTTTTGGAAATAAGAGTTAGCGGTCATACTATGTGTTAGAAGCATATGATATTGTCATATACTGGAAAAATTATTAGTTTGAATACTGGAATTAAATATATCATCATGTCATAATAATCTAGCAATAGGGGGTGCCTGGGTGGCTCAGTCAGTTAAGCATCTATCTGCCTTCGGCTCAGGTCATGATCAAAAGGTCCTGGGATCGAGTCCTTCGTCGGGCTCCCTGCTCAGCAGGGAGTCTGCTCATTCTCCCTCTCTCTCTGCCTCTCCCCTGCTGCTTGTACTCTTTCTCTTTCTCAAATAAATAGAACCTTTTCTTTTTTTTTTAAAGATTTTATTTATGTATTTGAGAGAGAGAATGAGATAGAGCATGAGAGGGGGGAGGACCAGGGGGAGAAGCAGACTCCCTGCTGAGCAGGGAGCCCAATGCGGGGCTCGATCCTGGGACTCCAGGATCATGACCTGAGCTGAAGGCAGTCACTTAACCAACTGAGCCACCCAGGAGCCCTAAATAGAATCTTAAAAAAAAAAAAAATCTAGCAATAGTGCTCACCACATATGAACATATCTGAGAAACAATGGTATGAAAATTTTTGTGTTTCTGCATGATGGTGTTTCTCATTAAAAAAGTAATACCACTGAGTGTAAAAAGACATTTATGGTTAAAATTCCATAGATAAGTCTATTTTTAAAAAATTATTTATTTATTTATTTATTTATTTGAGAGAGATAGAGATGTATGCATGCTTGAGAGCAGGGGTAGGTGCAGAGGGAGAGGGACGAGCAGTCTCTGCGCTGAGCGTGGAGCCCCACACAGGACTCCACGTGGGGCTCAATCCCTTGACCCTGAGACCATGACCCTGAGACCATGATCTAACCTGTAACTGAGTCAGAGGCTTAACTGACTGAACTACTCAGGTACCCCAAGAAGTCCTAGAAGAGAGAAGAGAAAGGTGGATGGATGTCATAAAGGCTGAAACAAACCATCTCATTTTGACATTAATTTTTTTTAATTACCTTAGAATGTTGATTTAGATTATATAATATTCTTGGTTTATTACTCTGACCCATTTAATGGAATGAGATAGCCCTGGCAGCTTTTGTTCTGTAAATACAAATTCAAACTGTTTAAAAGCTACTGATAAAATAAAGAAAACAAATGAAAACAACAACAACAACAACAAAAACCTATCCTCTCCAGTGTTTATCTCAGGAAATTCAGGGCATATTTCTGAAAATTTTAAGTAGGAATGATTTGATGATTTTAGATAGTGAGGTAAAAGGCAAAAGAAAAGTTTGAGGACAGAGCAGACTTGAGAGATCAAGAGAAGAGAGAATTTTAGATGCAGGAAAAATCAGAACATTTTAAAAGATTGAATTAACACTTCTAAGAAATAATCATCTCTGACCATAGCCCTCTGACTGGATTCATCACCGTGAAGCTGAAAGCAATAAACTTAAAATCTGAGGGGAAGGGCGCCTGGGTGGCTCAGTTGGTTAAGCGACTGCCTTCAGCTCAGGTCATGATCCTGGAGTCCCGGGATCGAGTCCCGCATCTGGCTCCCTGCTCAGCGGGGAGTCTGCTTCTCCCTCTCCCGCTCCCCCCTCTCATGTGCTCTCTCTCTCTCATTCTCTCTGTCTCAAATAAATAAATAAAATCTTAAAAAAAAAATCTGAGGGGAAAATCAAATCATTATTTTATCAATGAATATTATGTATTTGATTAAATCATTAAGTCTTAATTTCAGCTGGAGTTGGAAATAAAACGTGTATTTCTTAACTATTTCAGAAGGGTATTTTAAAGCTAACCACAGATAGGCTGCATTAGCAAAGGCAAAAATAGTACTTTATTTGGCTTCGTTTAAGATGCCCAAACATTTGTTTTCATAAATAAACCGGTGATACTGGTAAGTACGCTCTAATTTGAACTCTACAGCAACTGAGATTGAGATTTCTCAGTGTCCGAAACATATTTTCACTATTTCCAGCCCAAGTAAAAGAGTATGAAGTGGTTCTTATATAACTTCACTGTCCAACACAGTAGCCAATAGACACACGTGGGTATTTAAACATTAATTTAAATTCATACAAATGAAATAATATTTAAAAAGAAAAACTTCAGTTCCTGGTCTCGCCAGCCACATTCCAAGTGCTCAAGAGCTGTTCAGAACATTTCCACATCTCTGTTGTATAACATCCAAGAAGACCACAAAACACAAATGCTTTATCACTCTGCAATCCTTATCAGATACAAGAGATGGTGAGGCTTTTTTTGTATATAAAGGATTAAGTACATATATTTTCACATTTCCTCTTAAAGACAGAGTTAGAGAGGATTAGTCTTTTTTTTTTTTTTTAAAGATTTTATTTATTTATTTGAGACAGAATGAGAGACAGAGAGCATGAGAGGGAGGAGGGTCAGAGGGAGAAGCAGACTCCCTGCCGAGCAGGGAGCCCGATGCGGGACTCGATCCAGGGACCCTGGGATCATGACCTGAGCCGAAGGCAGTCGCTTAACCAACTGAGCCACCCAGGCACCCAGAGAGGATTAGTCTTTACCTCAGAGGTCTTTTTAGGGAATAAAGACAATAACTGGCCTATAGATAAAGACCTCAACACTGTGCATTCCATGTGCACTACTTACATTATAGTAAATTCTGGTACCTGGTACCTGTAGCTCTCTTACGTAAGCATGAAGATGAACACTGGTATGTGTGCCAAAAATCTGGAGGACATGCACTAGGGAATCTAAAGATATTGAATGAGGCTCCCTCCAAAAAACAAACCAAATGGATTACTGCTTATATTTTCAGAGCTACTATGGGATATTGTGGTCAAATTTCTGTGGGTTATTCTTTTTTTTTTTTTTTTAAAGATTTTATTTATTTATTTGACAGAGAGAGACACAGTGAGAGCAGGATCACAAGCAGGGGGAGAGGGAGAGGGAGAAACAGGCTTCCTGCCGAGCAGGGAGCCCGATGTGGGACTCGATCCCAGGACCCTGGGACCATGAGCAGAGCCGAAGGCAGACGCTTAACGACTGAGCCACCCAGGCGCCCCTCTGTGGGTTATTCTTGTGGTAAGTACACTGACCAACTCATCTCTGTTTGCCTGGGACTTTGCAGGCTTTAAAACTGAAAGTTCCACATCCCAGGAAACTCCCCAGTCCTGTTCAAACTGGAACAGTTAGTCACCTTAGTGGTAAGGGATAGTGCTTTATGTCTCTTGCATATTTTCCATAATGGCAGTATATATAGGAATTGAATGATCTTTCTGTATTAACATTTATACAATGGTTAATATAGATATCTATATTGACAGTTATATAAGTGTTCATATAGACTCAACATAATCTGGCCCAGTCTGCCTTTCTAGTTATTCTACTTGCATGAACCTTATCTTCTAACTATAGTGAATTTCTTCGCTTTCCCAAATCACACACTGTCATACCACTGTGTCTTTGGTCAGGCTGTTTTCTGCCTGGAATTCTTTCTCTCCCTTTGAATATATACTGAACTTACTCAACTTGGTCTGATTCAAATTGTACCTCTTGTCACAATACTTCCCTGATACTTCCCTTTCTTCAGTTTCCCCTATTCACCAGTAAAATGACTTGCTTTTTCTGCTGTGCTACCAGCATTTAAAAATTTTCTTTCCCCCTTTTTTAAACAACTGATAATCAATTTATTAAAAAGGTTGATTTAAGCATCTGCAATGGTGACTTCAACCTCACCTCCTAGCTCAATAGTGATGGAAGTAATCTGCTTAACAATTCCAGAAGGACTGTGCAAATCAATGAGTAGCTTGTGGGTCCAAGGAGTTTTTCTTGCAGTGATTCTCAAAGCCTTGGTAAGCATCTGAACTGGTCCTTTGACTTTGAGATTCTTTTCCTTTGTGCCTCTGATCAAGGCAGCACATACCTTCTCCAAAGATTTTACTTTGCGGCTGGTTAGAGTAATTCTAATTCAGTGAATCTCTGGTTCCCTGGGTGTCTTCCTGGTGTCTTTAAAAGTCATGGCTTTGGAGCAGCGTCCTGACTGACTTGTTCCTCTGCGAGAGTGAACCCTGGTGAGTCAGGAGCAGGAGCGGGGCATCCAAAGCTCCATTATTGCTGTGACTGCATCTTCCTCAATGAAAGAATAAAAATACTCTTTCTTGTAAGGTTTGCTTCCTTGTGTTAATATTTATCTACTGTTCGCTTTCTTCTCTGGACTAAAAGTGTAAAGGGCTCTAAAATTATTACCAGTGTCCATCCATTTCTGGCACATTTTAATAACGCCTGTTAAAATCATTATGTTTTATAAATTTTAAAGCTATTATACATTTATTATCTCATTTGATCTTCTCAACAATTCCTAAGCTTCGCAAAGTTGATTGTAGGACATTGTAGGATATTCATTTGGTTGGTGAACAAACAGGTGTAGACAGTGACTAAGTAACCAAGGTTAGTAGAAGTAAGTGATGGGAATGAATCCCAGGTCTTCTGACTGCCAGTCTTTCTTCTAAATCCTGCTGAAGGTTAAAGGTCACCCAACAGAATTACTCTGTTGGTAAAAACAGGGTGATCAATAATATTTCAAAAGTAGACTTTGTATAAAAGTTCACCTTGTCTTTCTACCTCCTTCAAAACCCATTCCACATTGCAGCATTCCTTCATCTCCCCAATTTAATTCTTTCTGGTAAGAAACGTGGGCTGGGGCGCCTGAGTGGCTCAGTCGGTTGGGCCTCTGCCTTCCGCTCAGGTCATGATCCGGGAGTCCCTAATGGAGCCCCACATAGGGCTCCCTGCTCAGCGGGGAGTCTGCTTCTCCCTCTGCCCCTCCCTCTGGTCATACTCTCTCTCTCAAATAAATAAAATCTTTAAAAAGAAAAAAAAAAAAGTGGGCTAAACCATTTGATCTTAAGTCAAATTGCCAAAACTACACAGGCTACTAAAGATTAACCCTTATTGAATGATGAAAGTTTTACTACTAAGAGGAACTCTTATACCGTGACTATCAGAGATCTTTCCTTTCAATGTGCTTTTTAAACATCAGACCTCTTTTCTTTTTTTTTCTTTTGTTCCCTCTTTTTTTTTGTTTTTTTTTAATTTTTTTTATTCTTATGTTAATCCCCATACATTACATCATTAGTTTTAGATGTAGTGTTCCATGATTCATTGTTTGTGCATAACACCCAGTGCTCCATGCAGAATGTGCCGTCCTCAATACCCACCACCAGGCTAACCCATCCTCCCGCCCCCCTCCCCTCTAGAACCCTCAGTTTGTTTTTCAGAGTCCATCGTCTCTCATGGTTCGTCTCCCCCTCCGATTTCCCCCCCTTCATTCTTCCCCTCCTGCTACCTTCTTCTTCTTCTTCTTTTTTTTCTTAACATATATTGCATTATTTGTTTCAGAGGTACAGATCTGAGATTCAACAGTCTTGCACAATTCACAGCGCTTACCAGAGCACATACCCTCCCCAGTGTCTATCACCCAGTCCCCCCATCCCTCCACCCCACCCCCCACTCCAGCAACCCTCAGTTTATTTCCTGCGATTAAGAATTCCTCATATCAGTGAGATCATATGATACATGCGTCAGACCTCTTTTCTGATGGGTTCTTCCTACTTCGCCTCTATTCTAGGCTTCTAGCTGCCGGATAACTAGCAGTCATCGTCCAGAGGGCAAAGCTCCGGTTAGGAATCTAACTGGAGGAAAGAGAGGTAATCCCGGTCTACCATGCTGATTCTGGGCTTTATCTTTCTCATTCCACCAGTTAGAGGGGAATAATGCCACACCCACCTCGTGAGGACAGGATGCGCGAGAATTAGAGACCCGAAAAGTAAAAGCGACTTGAAACCTTAATTCTAAACCCATAAAAAATGCGATCACATTTCCCACACTTCTGTGCTTTGCTAATATAATCGTATCCACTTAATTTTGGGGAAAAAAATGTTCCTCTCGCCCCGGCGCCTCCAAGACTCTGGAACGAGAGCTAGCCTCCCCCCTTTCCTTTGGCGACCGGGACCGGGAAGGCGCGCCCGCAGTGACGCATTTATCCCGGGCGATGACGTCGCTACCAGGCGCCCGGCGGCACGTTGGCCAGGCCTTGGGCTGGCTTTAGGGGGTAAAAATGGCTATGGCCAGCGATTTCTACCTGCGCTACTACGTAGGTCACAAGGGCAAGTTTGGACACGAGTTTCTGGAGTTCGAGTTTCGGCCAGACGGTGAGCAGAGGAGCGGCGCCGCCGCCGCAGCTTAGCTCGGTGCGCGGCTCGGGTAAGCGGGGTGGAGAGGGCGCGGAGGAGGCGAAGTGGGGTGATTCCGCCTCAGTGGGCTTGCAAGTGTGTCTTGGGGACTGAGGTCACTTGCTAGAGCCGAAGTAAATCCGAACCGAAGACTCTCAGAAGCATTAACTGGACCTGTGAATACAAGAAAATTAATGGGTGTAAGTTAATTCAGAAAATCTGATCCTGCCAGATACTGAAAACTTGAACACAGGGTAATCAGAATCTTCAGAGTAGGTCTCCTCCCTTTTCCTAGACACGTGGCCTTACGTACAGCGCTTAAATGAATACAGTGGTTGGACGGGGGAGGCCGAAAATTGCCGGTCACCGGAAGACTTTAAGCATCCATTGCACAACCGCGTGGTGGGATGTTCTTTAAAATGTTCAAGGATGACGTCAAGTAAACTAGATGGCTTCCGGTGCGCTGAACTGAAGAAGGGAGCTCCACGTGTAGGAACATGAGTGTAGTAATTATGTGTTTTGGGTGCTTAAATATAGTTGTTGTTCCCCATAAGATGCATTAGGAATAAAAAGGAGGGAATGGTTAGGAGTCCAGGAAAGCTTCCTAGAGAAGGTAACAGTTGAAATTGTAGCTGGTGCGCAGGGCTGCTCTGGGTTTCCCAAACAGACCAGATTGGGGGCTCACCGCTGACAAAATCCAAAGGCAGAGAATCTACTGGTGGTGAGACAACAAAGGAATTTATTTCAGAGAGGCTGGCACCGGGAAGATAGTGCACTAGCATCTCAAAGACTGTCTCCAAAATGCCAACAATACTTGCCAAAAAAATATGGGGCGAAGGTGGGTTTGAGATCATAATAATGTAGGTAGCCAAAGTTCTCTTTCAAGATGAGTCTTGGAATGAGAATAGGCATTTTCTTGGCCTGTGAGGGGAAAAAAACCATTCAGACTGCTGAAAACAGCATGAGCAAAGGGTGAGGTGGGACTGTCTGCTGCCCTGGAGGTGCAGCATTATTCTATCATTTGAGAGCCCTGAATCTCTTTAGAGAGTTACTGTATACTGAACTCTGCTTAGAACAGGGATGGTCCACCTGCATAGACTTTTCTTTCTTTGAATGCGTGTTATGTGCAAGGCAACATGTAAACACAAAAATTGAGGGTACAATAATGAGTAAGTCTCTTTAATTTCTCTGAAGGAACTATGTCTTGGTGGGTGACACAGACATGAAACTAGCCATAAAACAGTGTGGATATTAAGTGGTGTATTATGGTTTGGACAAAGTTCTGTGAGAGTGAAAAAAAAAAGTGGAGAAGCATCACATGTTAGGAAAAGGAAGAGTATCAGACATTTAAGGAAGAACTCAAGGTAGCTACAGCCCTGCAGTTCAGAAACCTTAATCACTTTATTCCCCCTTGTTCTTACCATGTCTCTTTTAAATTTAACTAAGGAGCCAAATTTATCTGAATTCTCCATCTATTCTTTTCTTAGGTGATACTCTTTTTAGTGCCTTTGCCTTTGAACAGCTTTCAGCTTGCCTATATCATGTTTAGCCAGTCACGTAAATTAAGTAGGCGGATATTATCATGGAGAGTTCATGCTAGAACAGTGATTCTCATCCGGTTATCTGCCACCATATCATTCCACATATTTCCTTCAGTAGTGAGGGGGTCACCTCATTAGGGAAACCTATCATTTCAGAGATCAGGACCACATTACATTTGTGTCTGAGCAACTGACCATAGCCATGATGAGAAGCATGCATCAGGGAGTACAAAAGTCATGATGGATTAAAATTTTAAATACAGGTCAGCTAACAAACTGACCAACTTTTATCTAGAAGCAGTACATAGTTCGTATACATCTTAGTCACAGTGCTAAAATAGTAGCATTGCCATATTGTGTACATATATTAATTTGAAGGAAATAATTTTTGGAGTATTGGGGAAAGCATGAGTATTGGAAGAAGGTAGACCTAGAAATGAATCTTTCTGACCCTGGGCAAGTTACTTAACTCTGTTCTCTCAAGTATAAATAGATGAGAGAACAAAACCTAGTAAGTGTTGTTTTACCAATTAGATTAAATTTTCTGGGTAAATCACTTAGGGCCAATACAGATATATAACATAGGCTTTAAAAAGAAATGTTAGTTCCTTTTTCAGATTCCCTGTCTAGTTCATGACATAGCTTAAGCAAATGAGCCTTAAGAATGATCCTCCTAGGGGGAAGAATGAAGGGGGGGGGAAATTGGAGGGGAGATGAACCATGAGAGACGATGGACTCTGAAAAACAAACTGAGGGTTCTAGAGGGGAGGGGGGCGGGAGGATGGGTTAGCCTGGTGGTGGGTATTGAGGAGGGCACATTCTGCATGGAGCACTGGGTGTTATGCACAAACAATGAATCATGGAACACTACATCTAAAACTAATGATGTATTGTATGGTGATTAACGTAACATAATAAAAAAAAATGACCCCTCCTATTATATTGAATTATATTGAAGGCATGAAATATTTAAAAATTATGTTGAATGTTTAAAAATTCAACTATTGAAGGTATGAAAGTTTTGAAAATGACTGGCTTCAACTTTAGCCAACTTTTTACCAATATTTGAGTGTTTACAGGTCTAGCATTGATCTTATGCTAAAAGGGTGGAAATATTAATAAAAGTAGTAGTATAAAATGGTCTGTACCTTTGAAATTGCTTACAATGTCATTTTTTTATTATTTTCTTTTTTAGTGGTTTTTGCTGTTATAGATTGAATTTTTTTCCACTCCCCACAGGAAAGCTTAGATATGCCAACAACAGCAATTACAAAAATGATGTCATGATCAGAAAGGAGGTAAGTTCTTTTCAGATGTCTAATTTTTTACATTTAGACCATTTTCTTCATGTCTTTTTTTGAATTTACAAAAGTACATCTCAGGCTGTATTGCTTGTAAAGAAGCCAGTTTATAGATTGAAAAAGGAGTCTATTTAAATAGATCTAAATGTAGCATGTGTAACAGCCAAAGAAGCAATCTGATTATATTAAGTTGTAGTTCCACCTTTAAACATATAATTTCATTCATTTCATAATTAGCTTTGTCTTTTTATCCCACTCCCTATTTAAACTGATTGATAGTCAAGATTTAAATACAGTATTTTACAGAATTTTAAATGAAAGGCCCGGAAGTTAAGGATAAGAAAAAGCTCAAAGCAGTGACTGTGATGTCTACTTGTATTTGTGTCTGTTCACCTCACAGATTTTCTGTTATCATTGTTAACCACTCAGAGGTATTTGAGTCCCATGTTAAAAGGCAGGATCCAGGGTTTTAAAAGGGGGCTAGTGTAAGTTATCTTTTTTTTTAAATTTGGAAACAAATACATATTAAAGGAAAGGGCGAGAGAGTTAATAAAATCATAAGGATGAGTGATTATCTCCCATCTTGTACTTTTAGGATCAGTATTAGATTCTTCTGTGATATTCTCTTTGAATATTTAGGGTTTGTAACTTCATATTATGATTTCATTCTGAGTTGTGGAAAGTAATAGACATTGTGGAATTTTTATTGTAACTTGTTTTCAGGCTTATGTGCACAAGAGTGTAATGGAGGAACTGAAGAGGATTATTGACGACAGTGAAATTACAAAAGAAGATGATGCTTTGTGGCCTCCCCCTGACAGAGTTGGCCGACAGGTTCGTATACAGTAGTTCTTTACGTGCATACATGTTGGAAATTGGTGATATAATTGTTACGTTTCTCCATATTTACTTAGCATAGTTCCTCCTTGATTCTTTGGTTTTCCATTTAGTAGGCACCCGGTAAATACTCTTTAATTTTATTTCACTTAGTTTCATTTTCTGTTCTACCTTTGAATTGTAAAGGAGTCAGTGCAGAGCTCTAAACTTAGGCATCTTTCTGAGCAGTCTTCTCTGTAGCCTCACTGGTTAAAGTTAGGATGTTTTCATACTGTTAATGGATAATTGCTATTGTATATTAATTACTTCTGTTAAGAATAAGTACAGTGTTTGTGAAATTCAAGAGAGGATTCTTATTGATTGTAAAATTCACTTTCTTCATTTTTATAACTTTGAGAACTCTTTATTTGTACCCTTGTGCCCAAGAGAGGGATTTGATTGGTTTCTTTTTCAAACTGATCATTGCTTTTGCTTCTTATTCCCTTCAGAGTAATTAATGTTTCTCAAAGGGCTTCTGGAGAAGTTTGAAGGCTTAATTTCACTCTGTAGAAAGACAGTTTGGGTTTTTTCAACTCTTGAAGAAATGAGATCTAACTCCTGGAGGAAGAAATACTTAATTTCACTTTTATATATTCCTGAGAATTATACTTTATATCCCCTTCTTTGACTAGAAGAAAATGTGGAGAAATCAAATAGATGCTGACATTCTGTAGCAGTCATTTACCTCTTCTATTTAAAGAAGTATTATTTAGGAAAGCAAAGGTAATAGTTAACAGTATTTATGTTACACATTGTAAATACTTTTAAAAAGTAAATTTAAATCTCGGTTTGTTTTATGCTGTAGGTACATACGTACTAAAAAACAGACACTACAACAGTAAACTTTTTATCTATTTTAGACTCAGGGAGAACCCAGTATTTTCATCTACCGACTTGATGATGTATTTATATGTTTTGGTTAGTGGGGGGAGGGGTAGGCATGTTCCAGAAATCATCTATTGGGTCTTTAAGTCAAAGATTTTATGATCGTTTGAGAGCCTTAATTAGTTCTCCATTTTGTGTGTGCCAAAAACTGTGCATAATTAGGTCCCATAATGAAATAGAGAGCTAAGACCATCTTTAATGGCATTTGTTATTTAACCTGATAAATCACTACACACATAGCCTCATAATTACTGGTTTTAGATTTGCGGATAAAATCTAGAGAACAATTTCTACAATAATTATGGTACACTAAGAATGTCTACAGTATGTTGTATTTGTTTTAGTAGGTCTTAATTTTCAATGCTTTGTGAAGTCAAATCACAATGAGTCTTTCATTCTTAACAGCCGAGGACTCAAAATATCAATACCATCACTTATTCGTGATTGTAAATACATCAGTGTTTTTTTCCTATGCTTTATGAGTCTTGTATTTTGCATTTGTAACATACCCTGAGAAGGGTGTTTTAGGGATTACAGAGTATGTTTGTAAAGTCCCCAGCAGCAGGGCCTCATACATAGTAGATGCCCAAGTGGTGCTATTAGTATTGTGCATTTTATTTATAAAGCCTGGTAGAAAGGTTAAATGTGCTTGTATTTATTTATTAAAAATAGGTTTATACCCATATCTACAGCATTTTGCTTCAAAGTTATGTCTTCAGTTTTTACTGACATAAGAAATGTTTATGTGTACTCTTATATATATCATTCATATTTATAGTGTCTTATTTATGAGATCTCTGGAAAGCAATTCTTCGTTAATCCTAATATTGGGGACTCCTGAGCAGTTGATGAGGTTTTTATTTTACAGACATAGTTTATGTCTGTCAGGTTAAGTTTCTTTTCCTTTTTCTTTTCTTTTCTTTTCTTTTTTCTTTTCTTTCTTCTTTATGACTGCTAGAAAACTTGCAGCTAAATTGGGACCTCTTGGTAACAAGAATACCAATACCTCTGAGTGGAGTTTTATATTAACTACAGTAATCTATTTTATTTTTTTCAGGAGCTTGAAATTGTAATTGGAGATGAACATATTTCTTTTACAACATCGAAAATAGGTTCTCTTATTGATGTAAATCAGTCAAAGTAAGTATGCTGAAGTATTTTAACTAAATTGACGTAATTTAGGGATGTCTGGGTGGCTCAGTCAGTTAAGTGTCTGCCTTCGGCTCAGGTCATGATCCCAGGGTCCTGGGATTGAGTCCTGCATCGGGCTCCCTTCTCAGCGGGGAGCCTGCTTCTCCCTCTGCCTGCCGCTCCCCCTGCCTGTACTCTCTCTCTGACAAATAAATAAAATCTAAAAAAAAAAAAAAAAATTGACATAATTTATTTGAAAGGGCCATTTTAGAACAATAGCCAGTTTTCTAGGGTTATTTCAGTGGCAATTTATCGGTTTATTCTGCAGATATAATTTTGACTTTTATGTCATTGAAGACTTGCTGTCAACTACTTAGCAGTGTATTTTTCTGATTGTCAAATCTTAATCTGACCATATGCATAACAGCAACCAAATTCTAATAGCTATTTTTGGTAAAAATCTGGATAGAGTTTCATAAAACTTAAAAGAAATCCTTATTGGATTATATCAGCCTCATTAGCCTAATACCACATCATTCTCCTCCTTGAGTTTAATATTTGAAAGAAATTGAAGAAAGTCAGTATAACTTAAGTATGGCTTTAGCTTCCTCTGTCTTCCCAAGTTTATCTCCTCTGGACCTTTGTAGGACATAGTATTGTTTTTGTCCGAAAAATTTCTATGCTTCCACTTCTTTTCTGTCTTATGCCTCAGAATGTTTTCTTAGTGCTCTTTCTTCTATCACCCTAACTTGTAAGAACTTACTTGCTTGCTTTTCTGGTTTGAATGTGAACTCCATGAGAATCTTGCTGTGTCACCAGTTAGCACAGTGCCTGGCATACAAGAAGTGCTTTGTAAATATTTATTAGATGAAGGGAGAAAGGAATGAATGCATAGTCACTATTGGATACAAAAGGCTACATTCATAAAGACCAGTCGGATACTTTTGAACTATCAAGTTGATTTTCCCACAGTTGATGAGGATGTGGCATTCATACCCTAACTAGGATTTTAAATTGGTACAGTGTTTTTTGGAAAACAGTTTGATAATTATGCATCAAAAGCTGCTAGCATTTTATTTTTTTAATTTATTTTTATTTTTATTTAAATTCAATTAGTTAGCATATAATATATTGTTAGTTTCAGAGGTAGAGGTCAGTGATTCATCAGTTTTATATAATACCCAGTGTTCATTACATCATGAAGCTGCTAACATTTTAAATTCATGGTTGCTGGAGGGGAGGGGGCTGAGGGGATGGGGTAATTGGGTGATGGGCATTAGGGAGGGTTGTAATGAGCACTGGATATTACATAACACTGATGAATCACAGTCCTGTACCCCTGAAACAAATAATACATTGTATGTTAATTAACTAAATAAAAAAAATAAATTCATCTTTGACTTAGTAATTTCATTTCTGAGCATCTACTTTAGGGAAATGCTCTCAAATAACGAAAATGCTGTATTCATGAAGATGGTCATTGAAGTCTTTTTTTTTTTTTTAAGATTTTTTATTTATTTGAGAGAGAGACACACAGCGAGAGAGGGAACACAAGCAGGGGGAGTGGGAGAGGGAGAAGCAGGCCTCCCGCCAAGCAGGGAGCCCGATGTGGGGCTCCATCCCAGGACCCTGAGATCATGACCCGAGCCAAAGGCAGACGCTTAATGACTGAGCCACCCAGGCGCCCGGTCATTGAAGTCTTATAATTGGGGAGAAATCCAAATGTTTAACAAAGAGAATTATTGATAATTCACAAATGAAGGAAAAAGTAATATTAAAGAAGGAAAAAGTAATACTAAAAAGGGCACAGGGAATGATTTTAGTTAAGAAAATAGAGAAATGCCAAAATATTTATAGTTATCCTGGGAGGACTGACATTTTATAGTATTAGGGGTATTATTTTTTTCTGTCTTTATAATTTTATCTGCCTTCTACGTTCTTATGTATAGCTATTTCTTTTATAAGAAAATAAACACCTTAAATATGAATGAAATATAAATATGAATGAATACAAAAATGAATTTTGTAGAAAAGACAGAGATGGTAGTCAGTATGTTCATTTTAGTTGCAACAAATCCTTTCTCCTGAATTCCTTTGTTTTGTTTTGTTTTGGGAATTAACTTTAAAATTATGTGTTTCATCTTAGGAACAAAAAAGTAACTTTTACCTTTTTAAATTTTAGGGATCCTGAAGGCCTTCGAGTATTTTACTATTTGGTACAGGACCTGAAATGTTTAGTTTTTAGTCTTATTGGATTACATTTCAAGATTAAACCAATCTAAATTGTATGTTTTTGCAGCTGTTTTTATATTTAATTAAGGGATGGGTTTGTCATTTACCCTATTGGGATTTTTATAAATGTGAAATTTTTTTTGTATGGCAACTAAAAATAAGGAAATACATAAGCAGGCTTAATGATTATTCTCATTTGGGTCCAAGTGGTCTGGACAGTCCTCACACATGAAATTCTATAAATAAAAGGAACCTTTTGTTGAGAGTTTGCTCTAATAAAACATATCAAAGCCCGGATGGAGAGTGGGTTTGTTTGTTTGTTTTTTTCAGAAGGCTAAGTCTCTTTATTCACTTTAAGATAATAAAGAATTGTTCTAGTAGGTACATCCTATGCAGAAGTTCTTTCAGGCAGAAGAATGCTGCCAGATTTTCATCCATTAAAGGAAATTGCAGATCTCTCATTTCTTCCATACCTAATGGGACGTAATTTTTGGTGCCTATAGAAGTTGTTTCAGAAGGTTCTGGATTTTTCACATGTATCCCAAACCCCTCAGAATTATTAAAGTTTAATTATTTTTGGTGTAATCAGTAATTGCCTAAAGGGTTACAAGAGTCAAGTCAGCACCCCAGGTGAAACATATCTTCTGTTATGCCCTTATTCCTTATTTCACAGTAGATTTTTGTCAATAAGATATTACGGAATATATTTTGTGTTTCTGTAGGAACTAAATGAGTTCTCAGCATTACAAGTTATTTAAAATTGACACTTTAATGCATGTGTGTGTGTGTGTATTCTAACTATTAATGAGCATAGGTTTAACTCATGATTCTCAGTCCTGCAACCTCTTTCTGATAGACTTGGTCTTTCATTACTTCCCTGTTAGCAACTATGCCCCTGGGATTGTTAATCCCCCATCTGAACCCCCACTCTTTAAAAGTGTGCAGTCCTGGTAGTGATAATTCACTCCCCCCTGGGACAGTCAGAACTGACCTTATTGGGAAGAGTTGGTCTCTGAAGTTTGCCAGTATTCCTGAGCTCGGTTCTAGAGTGGTTCTGGCCAGTACATTTCTTTGAGATAATAGAGACGTTATGTCTGTAGTCCAATAAGGTAAGCACTAGGTACTATACGTGGCAACTTAAGTTTTTGATATGTGGCTAGTATAACTGAATTTATAGTTCTCTTAAACTTTTTTCAAATTTTATTATGAAGAATTTCAAGCATAGAAATTGTTACAAGAATTGTAAAATGAATATCCATCTGCCAATTCAGATTCTATCCTGAACAATTTTTTACTGAAGTAAGTCTGTTTTAAATCATGTCCTGTTGATTTTTCATGTAAGAATAAAATGGTATATTGCTGTCAACAAACCATTTTATTTATTTATTTATTTATTTATTTATTTATTTATTTTAAAGATTTTATTTATTTATTTGACAGAGAGAGATACAGCAAGAGAGGGAACACAAGCAGGGGGAGTGGGAGAGGGAGAAGCAGGCTTCCCGCCGAGCAGGGAGCCCGATGTGGGACTCGATCCCGGGACTCCGGGATCATGACCTGAGCCGAAGGCAGTCGCTTAACCAGCTGAGCCACCCAGGTGCCCCCATTTTTTTTTTTTTAGTGCTATTTAATTTTGATTAAATGTAGATAGCCAGTGTGCCTTGTAGCTACCCTTTGGATATTGTAGCTCTAGAGCATGTCTTGGCAGCGTGTTTGCCATGGAGTCCTGTCTGGTCTTTCACACTATATAAACAATCCCTGGCCATCCTCCAGGTTTGTCCTGAAAAGTCACCTGATCTCCACTGTGCAAGACTATACTGTTACCACCTCCAGGTCTCTTGACGATAATAAACATTTCTGTTCAAGTTGTAGACCTTGATGGATATGCGTTGTCAAATCATGTAATTTTCTTATACTTAGATGTCAACCTCCAGGAAGAAGGGAGAAATGATTGCTCTTTTAATTTGTGGGCCCACAATTTTTGTTTGCTCCTCAATATTCTGTGTCTCCTGAGTAAGACATTGAGTAAGATGATGAAGATGGAGCAAAGTTGGGAGAAACAGTTCTTCGATTTAATGTGTTAACTCCTTGTCATCATTCTCTGACTTCCCTCTTGTGCTGACTTGTTATGTTCTCTCCCCACTGTCTACTGAGTTTCTCACATTCAAACCAAGATTGGAGGCTACATCATTAGGATAAATATTTTATATTGTCTCTGACTTTCTTATACCTTGTTTGAACTGCTTCTTCCTAGATTGTAAGCTGCTGGTGGACAATGATCACTAACAATTAAATTTTGTATAATACTAGCTTTATATGAAACTGGAATGTTATAGCACTCAGGTCAGTAGATACATGTTCCCTTCCCTTCCTCCCCATAATAAAGAGTCTTCTTGCAATAATCAAAACTTATTTTCCAAGTGTTGGTTCAGTGCCCCATCCTTCCTTTGGCCCTTTTATGGGATGGAGTGTTGCTTCCCCGCATCTAGCACAATATTTTCCACAGAGTAGATGCTTTGTAAAAGTTTGAGGTGGTTGTCTTTTGTACTTACTGCCATCAGATTATTTTGTCTTTGTAACTTAGTCTGAAGGGGAAGAGATTCATTTCTGTAGCTATGGAAAACCTTTCAGTTACCACGAGCTTTGCACATGCACATAGTCCTGCCACAGAACTGTATATTCAAACACTTTGGATAAGGATGTGTCCTTTGGATCACAGCTGTGATCCTAATTTCTCAAGTAGACACTTTAACTTTGCTCAACCAAAGCAATGGATAATGGGACAGTGAAAAGGAGTTTTTGAAATATGTGAGACCTGTGAACATGGGTTGTGCTGTAAGTTCAACTACTGATCCCTGTGATTTTTTTTTTTAAAGACTTTTTTGGGAGCAATTTTAGGTTCACAGAGAAGGGAGAGGAAGGGACAGAGATTTCTCATATACTCCAGCCCGCACACATGCATAGCCTCCTGTTAACCAAAATTTTCCACCAGAGTAGTACATTTGTTATATTTGATGAGCCTCCACTGACACATCATAATCACCCTAAAGCCCATAGTTTCCTTTTGGATTCACTCTTGGCAGTGTATATTCTATGGGTTTAGGCAAATGTATAATGATATATATCCATCATTATAGTATCAGAGCTAGTATTTTCACTACCCTAAAATTCCTGTGTGCTCCATCCAGTTCTCCCTACCCTCATCACCGACCCTTATCATCACTATTACTCTTTGTATTGTCTCCACAGTTTTTTCTTTCCATAATGTCATGTAGTTGGAGTTATATGATATGTAGCCTTTTTAGGTTGACTTCTTTTACTTCTTTCACTTACATATTTAAGTTTCCTTCATGTCTTTTCATGACGTGATAGCTCATTTCTTCTTAGCACTGAATAATATTCCATTGCTTGGGTGGACCTCAGCTTATCCATTCATCTAGTGAAAGACACCTTGGTTGCTTCCAGGTTTTGGCGATTATAAATAAAGCTATAAATATCTATGTGCAGGTTTTTGGGTGATCAAGTTTGTTGGTTATTTTAATAATTGGCTTCCTATCATTATATGGTAATGCACTAGAATAGAACATCCACAAAATTTAATAAAAAATAAACAACAAAGGTAAATGAATGATTTGAGGGTAAGTTCAGAGTCTGAACTGTGTGAGATAGTGGAGGGAACACTAACTGATACAACAGAATTCTTAATTATGCCCCTACTTTGCAGATCTATTTTCCTTTTCCACCTGTGAATAGACAGGTTACCTTTAATGGCAGAGAGCCCAAATAGCCCTCTGAAGTCCCTTTTTTGCCATAATTTTTTCAAGCTTACTTATTTCCTGGGATGGAGGTGGTCTCATTTAGTTATTTAGAAATTGGAGGAAGGACGGATACTGTCTGATAGACTGCTGGAGGGCAGTTGGGCCCATATAAAGGATTTTACCTCTAGAGCATTAGAACAGATTTTATTGTAAAGACAAGAAGGACAAATGAGGTAACTAGTTAGGGGAACAAGAAAGTTCAAAGGAGGTCTTTTGAGTTTTTGCAGCAAGAGCCAGAAAATGAGCATTGCTCAGTGTCATGAAGGTTAGGCATGAAGTCTAACTGTGGAGGTGGGAACCCGGCGAGGTGAGGTACTCTTCTCAGAGGGATGCAGACCATCCTTCTCTGGGCGCTGGTGGTTCCTCTAGACATCCTTCCCTTTGGCCTACAAGTGGAAGAACAGCATGATGGTGTGAAATGATAAGCCATTGAGGTTTGAGGTTGTGACGAGAAAGCTTGAAGGTGTGACTAGAAGCTGTGAACTAAGCTAGCTGACAAAGTAAATATGGTCAATAGTGGTTGGGGTAAAATGTGTGGTTTCCCAAATGAACAGAGGCTTTACAGCAAAGCAGCCAGGAAGTAAATAAGCAAATGCTTTATATATTCATGTGTGTATGTGTTATGTGTGTCTTGCACATAAGTGAATTTGGATGACAAAGTATAGGAACATTCAAAGTTCTTCAAATTTTTCATCTTTCTGTTTTATGAACCAGTGGTTGTTCAGATGAAGTTTGGTGCTTCCAATGTTGTGCTGCTTTGATCAAAGGGCCATGCTAGGAGTTTCTGTTAGTCCCACCTGAAGTCAGTGCTGTCATTATCTTGTCTTCTCCTTTAAGAAGAAATTTACCTCTTCCAGAAATTAGAGCTTAGTAACAAACCAAATAACTTGAGCTTGGAGGGAGCTGCTACACAATTTGGCTTCCCAGTCATTCATCTCAATTGATTTTGTCTAAAACTGAAAAATCTAGATTTTATAGTCAATTCCTCCTTTTTTTATTTTAGAAAATCTAGTTTATTTTATTTTTTATTTTTTTATGTTCAATTAGCCAGCATATAGTACATCATAGGTTTTTGTTGTAGTGTTCAACGATTCATTAGTTGGGTATAACACCCAGTGCTCATCCCAACACATGCCCTCCTGAATACCCATCACCTGGTCACCCTGTCCCCCTACTCCCCTCCCTTCTGTAACCCTCAGTTTGTTTCCCGGAGTCCAGAGTCTCTCATGGTTTGTCTCCCTCTCTGATTTCTTCCCATTCAGTTTTCCCTCCCCTCCCCTGTGGTCCTCTGTTCTATTTCTTATGTTCCACATATAAGTGAAACCAATTCCTCTGAACTTGAATCACCTTGTTCATCACGTGCACATGTGGGCATCACATCTCTTGTCTGTGCTGCAGTTACAATAAGGAACCAGACGGACGTGGTACTCAGCTTACAGAGTGTATGTAGAGAGGACAGACAACTATGGTGGTTTAAAACAGTGTTCTGCACCTGTCTGGCCTGCATCATGAGAACTGACCACCTTTCACCAGCTCTGAGGATGTAAATCAAAACAGAATAAAGGCTCAGCATTACTAGTAACTGCATGGGATGGTAAGATGGTAATAACAAGATCCGAGGTCACAGAATGGAGGTGCAGTATGCTGCCACATGTTTCCAGCTCCTAAATATTAGGAATGTGCCCCTTGCCCTTGCCCACACCCTCTCTTCCAAGCATCTGCAGTCCAAACCTGAAAGGTGAGGACAGAGAAACCAGCTCAGCCTGTCAGGATTTCTGCATTGCTGTCCTGGCTCTTCCACTGTTTATAGAACCTTGGGAGAGAGAGAGGAAAAAAAATGAATATTTATGTATTTTGAAGTCTGAGAAATCCTCTCTAGTGCTACTCTCACTGAATTCTTCCAAGCCTATGAAGGGAGTGTTACTCTTATTGAACACATGAGGAAAAGGTCTTGAAGATTGGGAGTGACTTGTTGACATTTTTATATCTAGGGAGGATTTGAACCTTGACCTCAAATAACAATGTTCAATATATAATGAGCCTGATTTTAAACATGGGTCAAGAATTAGCAATAATGTATCTTTTGGCAAGTCAATTAACTTCTTAACATTAGTTTCCTCATGTGTAAAATGGGGGCAATATTAAATGGCTATCAGCCTTGGGAGGGTTTGATATGGTTATACATATAGTGGGTCTTTCAATAAATGACAGTGTCTCTCTCTGCCACCTCTTTGATCAACTTTAATACTTCTCCCACCCTTACTCCCTATGTTCTTTCAGCAGAGGTTGGTTGGTTGGTTGATTTATGTATGTATGTATGTATGTATGTATGGCTTTAGAATAGAGGGCTAGAATCTTTCTCTGTTTTGAGATTAACAAAGCCAATACAGGATTAGAGTAAAGAGATGAAAATGCCCAGTAACCAGTATTCTTGAAGTGTCCAGACTCTCCCCATGAAACTTATATTATTGAATTAAATTAGTGTCTGGGGGGTATTTCAGCTGAGTGCTTGCACGTGATGACAAGTGGTGATCAGAGATTAAGGAGTGCTTTGGGGACAGAAGTGGGCCCGGTGAGGGCCAAAGAATAGCAACATAACCTAGATTGGTCCTAGTGGTCAGAACATTCAGTAGCTGTGTTTGTAAAGTAGTTTGGAGGAGAGGTGGGAGGCATGAACAACCTGAAGAATGGGAAATCCTTCTAAAGTACAATGGTTTAGTTGTGGCTGGAAGTTGGTAAGGAAAGAGAAGAATAAGTAAGGAACTTGATCAGAGCCTGGTGAAGTAAGGGTGAGCTATCTCTTCATGACCAATTTCTGTTTCTCATTCCACCTCTCTCCTCTTCCTCCACACTCCATATTAACCATAATCATCTCCTTTGAAGAGCAACTTTAGTTGATTTCATAGAGCTGTATGTCAGAAGATTGACAAGGCCTGTATTAAATGAAAATGAACTTCAGTGAGGTTTGGGTAAGGTCTGGCTCATAGAAACAGTTATAGAAATGAATTTCTTTTAGCTGGAAGTTTGTAGTTCTTCATGAAGTAAGATTCATGTACAAAACTCAAGTAGAGGAATAATTCAACAGTATCTTTTGAAAAAATAAAATGTGAGCATTTTCACACACGGTGGTGGTATATAAATGGAAGCAGCTTCACTGGAAGGCATTGGGCAATATGTATCAAAGTGCTTTAATGTATTAACCCCCCCTAATTTCACGTTTAAACATTTTTCCTAAGACAACATTCAAATGTAAGGTCATAAATTTTGTACTAGCAATAAATTGGAAAACAACTCAAATGTCCAACAGTAGGGGATTGCCTAAATAAATTGTGGCATAATCTGTGTGGGTAATGACTATATATGGATTTTAAAATCACATTTTAGATAAATATTTTTTAAGTAAGGAAACATTTATTAGAAAATAATAAATCAAAAAAATTATGTATGAATAATGCCAACTTTCATAGTAATCATAGTGTGTGGATAAGAAACAGGAAGAATATACACCAAAATTTTTGTAGTGGGATTATGGATGTTTTAAAATAATTTTTAAAATACATTTATTGATTGTACACATAAGTGGAAAAAAAATCTTTTTTTTCAGATAGCGGCATGTAAGAGAAAGTTTCTAAGAGACAGACTCTTTAAGAGTTAAAGAATTTAGTTATAATATTTCTTAGGCATATGTATACTTATGCACTTTAATAATTTGTTTTTGCTAGTAGTTTCTTTTAAATAGGCTAGTTTTTGTTGAAGATATTAGTTCTTATTTTTTCCAAAGCTGTGTTCGTTTATATTTTCAGTCCTCAAATAGTGATTTTGAACGTTATTTTGCAAAGAGTATGAAGTGGTTGGTTAGTTGAAATGGAGGAAGATGTACCTCAGCATCAGCCTTTTCATATAATTTCCTTTCAGCACTTTGGCCAAGAGGAGGGGCAGTAAATTTCTGAGTGGGAGTACCATTCAGAGACAATCATTTCTGCCTTCTGTCTTACAGACCCTCACGCACACAAGGGATCCAGGATCAAAAAGGCCAACTTCTTCCACCTCTTTTCTGGATCAGCTTTCTCTGCCTGCATCCCTGCATGGCATAGACACAGGTAACGTCTGCTTCTGTTCCCCCAGATCTTTGTTATCTGAGTGTCCTACTAGTGCCACTTAATAACGAAGAGATTCTGGGAAAAAAAGATTCTTGGAAGGTGGCATTTTATTATAAATGGCTTGGTGTAAATATGGGGATTGATAGAAAAGCATTTTCTAATGATTACATTAGAACTGCATTAACTCTAAAGGATGTGAAAACTGTAGTGCAAAATTCATGGAAAGGTATTTTCTTTTTCTCGATACACTGCGACTTTTGCTTTGTGTTGAATGATGTAGATGTTATCCACCTTAAAGGACTGTGTAATAGAAAAGACTCCTCTTCCTTAGGAAATTAGGGAAAATGTGAATAAGTTTAGAAAATTTTGTAAATTAATAAAAAAATTTAAGGAGAATAGAGTTTCATGTGTAATTTGTTTTCCAGATTTTCTGTTTCTTGGATATCATCTTTTCACACTGATTAATATCAGAATCAGGGTAGCTTTTAAAGATTTATTATTTAATAATTTCTTTTTCTTTTTCTTTATTATATATTTTTAAGAGATTTTATTTATTTATTTGACAGAGAGAGAGACAGTGAAAGAGGGAACACAAGCAGGGGTAGTGGGAAAGGGAGAAGCAGGCTTCCCACCGAGCAGGGAGCCCGATGCGGGGCTCGATCCCAGGACCCTGGGATCATGACCTGAGCCGAAGGCAGTCGCTTAACCAACTGAGCCACCTAGGCACCCCTAATAATTTCTTTTTATATTGATATCCATTAATAGACTGAATCCTTTATGGATATAAACTAATGACTGCCTGTTGACAAATTTTATTTTCAGAGAGGCTTCTCTGGCAACATCACACACTAGAAAGTTATTTCTAAAATTCAAATATACATGGAATCATTTGGGATTAAAAATACAGGTATATGGGCTCCACTGAGATTTTTATTCAGCATATCTTACATGGGCCACTGGAGTCTGGATTGTTGACCAATCTGCGATGTTAACCATTAATAATTCTTTTGCAGATGGTTTATGGGTTATACTTTGGGAAACATACTCGTAGAGTCTTGTTATATTTGAAAGAATGCAAGAACTTTTAAATATTTATGTGTATATCTGAACATGTATATTAAGGCTTTTTAGGCCAAGATATATATATTTTTTCGGAATTTCAAACAGAATTTTCATTTTTTTGAACTGATAGTTTTTAAAGTGTCTCAGTAATTTATACTGGTGCCAGATTTGTCCAACATTTATATATGTATGTTCAGGGACACTTGGGTGGCTCAGTTGGTTAAGCATCTGCCTTAGGCTCAGGTCATGATCCTGGGGCCCTGGGATTGAGTCCCGTGTTGGGCTCCCTGCTCAGCAGGGAGCTTGCTTCTCCCTCTGCCTGAAGCTCCCCTAGCTTGTACTCTCTCTCTTTCTCTCTGACATATAAATGAAAAATACGTATATGTATGTTCAACATTTTGAGCTAAATTGGCTGGTTGCCTAGGACCCAGCCTATTCAATCTATTGGGACATTTAAAAAAAAATTCTTTCGATATTTTCTAATAATCATGGCAGTAATCACTAGGAGTATAAATGAGTTTAACAGAAATATTGAAAGGTTTTCCATTTCTTATATAAATCAGGATCAGTCCACATGCTTTATGCGCTTGAAGGAGTTAAACACACACTCACTCATACAGATACACACACAAGCCTCTAGGTATGTCGCTGGTATGTTTCTACAGCCTGAGATTTGAATTTTTCTTTTGACAGAAATCATCCTGTTGTGAGGCTTTAATTTAAAGCATCTTTCCCTTCTTACTGTAGATATGAGCGATCAGCAAGTGATTTATTCCACCCTGAGATTTCTTCAGTCTTCTTCAGAGTCACCAAATAGATTAAGGCCAGGTGGGACTCAAAGGCCTGGGAAAAATGATGGCAAAGGTATATATCTTAAGCATCTCTTATGGATTGTCAAACTGACATTTGAAAAAAGTTCCTGTTTGTCCTTTTGTTTTCAAATAGTAATAAGAAACCATGATGGTGTAGAGTAGCAGAGCAAAGCCTTGTTTTATATTTTTATGTTTGTGAAATGGAGAAATTAATGAATTCTTTAAAATTTGCAAAGCTAATAAAGTGTTTTTATTCAAATTTGGTCAAGAGGAATTTGTGAGGCCTTTAAAAGTAAAGGACAGATTAGAGTCTCAAGAAAACACTGAATTTCCTAGAGAAACAAAGGTCTTAGAGAATGCTTGAAAAATGGGAATATTTTTTAGAAACAATGTTTTTATTCAGACAAAAAGATATTTTAGGTGACTTAAATATTTATCAAACCTTAATTGGTAATGAAGAAACAGAAGATTAGTCAAAAGGAGCGTTCACTTTTTTCTGTTCTTTCCGTCCTCACTCTCTATCTTCAAATATTGTCACAAACTCTAAAGTGAGATTAACTTTTATTGTTTTAATTTAGTGACAATCAGAGATACAATTTTCAGACCCAGGACCTCAAAAGTAGGAAGATAAATATTGTCTAAGGAAAAATAGGATTGATGAAAAAGAAGGGAAAGTTGATTTGTAGAAACTCTTTTAAGGATGGACCCCAATCACATTTCCAGCCTCATAATATCCACTATTGGCTACCAATTCCTCAAGAATACTGACTGCTTTTTCCTTCCTCTTCATGATTAGTTGTGATCACAGGAAGGAGTATACACATCAGTGTGGACTCTTATAAAAGTGTATTATATCTATTGCCATCTGTGCTTTTTAAAAAAAACTTTGTTGAATTTTTTTTTTAATTTTAATTATTTATTTATTTATTTATTTTTTAAGATTTTATTTATTTATTTGAGACAGAGAGAATGAGAGAGAGAGAGCACATGAGAGGGGGGAGGGTCAGAGGGAGAAGCAGACTCCCTGCCGAGCAGGGAGCCCGATGCGGGACTCGATCCCGGGACTCCAGGATCATGACCTGAGCCGAAGGCAGTCGCTTAACCAACTGAGCCACCCAGGCGCCCTTTTTTAAAAATTTTTAAATTGAATTATAATTGATGCACAATGTACATGAGTTTCAGGTGTACAACATAGTGATTGGACAAATCTATATATTAGGCCATCTGTGCTTTAGTAGGGAAAGTGCTTTTAAAATCCTAGAGGACTGTTCTTGTGCGTAGGATTTCTACAGTGGGTGTGTATCAGTCAGAAATCTGAGACTTTAAAACTGTAATTATTAGGTCATAAATTTAAATCAATTTATATGATATATTTTTGTAAAATTTTTAGAGAAGGTTATCTCTGTTTCAAATGGTATCCCAGGTTAAGGTTAGCAGTGAGCAAGACTTTGTCCCTGATGATTATCTTTCTTCCTTATAAAAAGGGTTTTCAGTGACCTGGCATCTCATTGCAGTGATTCTTGGGATCTTGTGTTTACTACTATCGGTGGCAGTCACCCTATTGGGGACAAAGAGTGAGTAATTAAAATACAACTTTGAAGTCTGAGTAATAGCAGTGACCACTGTTTGCACAGATACTAACTGTTCCCTGGCTATCATGATGGAATGTCCCAGACATGTCACAGTGTCATTTTCATTTTATTCACCTATTCCAATGACTCTGTAGGTTAATGAACTGTCTCATTCTGTAGAATACATAATAGCATTCATTCAGATACAGGACTTAGTCATATAATGTCTTCTGAGTTTAGATCATTGTAAATATTAGATACACATTCTTTGAGAAACAACCGTTCACAAGAAATTATGACTTTCCTTGATTTTTTTTTCCAAGTCTGTGCTGATAGAGTTTAGTAAAAAGATTGATTCTGTACGTGTACCTTAGATGATCTTGAATTCAACTCTTATCTTTTATTTGAATTTCTTGACATCTTTAGAGAAAATCACTAATGTGCCACTCAAATAAATGTACTTATTTACATCTTCCTCCCTTTTCTATTCGATCACCTTCAGTAACAATGATGGTATTTCTTCATGTTTCCTAGTGCAGATTTTCACATATAGAAAATGTGTTGCTAAGTGTTGATTTACTGGTTTTTACTCTGGGACCTATTTATAAATGATATGCTAATTGTTAAAAAGAAACTGAACTGAATGGTAAGATGTTACTATTATAATTTTATTCAGATATCTTCTTTTATTTATTCTACACATAAGTTGCTAATAGTGTGAAGTTTGAAGTTTCCATTTCTACGGTCGGTTTATTGAGGTGTTACTTTCTAAATGTCACATTAACCATTTAAAGTAATGAAAGGGGTTGGTTGTCAAAGTGAGACTTTTTCTTTTGTCTTGAATTTTAACATTCAAGTATATGAGTACCCTTGTATTATATCTATGCTATTAATTTTAGTTTTTCAGTATATTCAAGAAAACCATCAGCTGGGGGAAATGATAGGAAACCTGACTCGAGAGCACCACATTTTGCAAAATGACAGCTACTTAAAGGAGCGACTTTTGACAAATATGACTTTAGAATATAACATTCTCAAAAATGAATTGCTTCAGCAGAAAAAGGAACAGGATTTACTGTTTGCAGGTAGGAGATGTCAGGAAGAAAATGAAGGTATGAAGGGCATCTTGAATGGAAGATTGCATGATTTGCCTTTATTTCTTCCCCTTCCAGAAGCTTTGAGGCCTGATAGGCAGGCTGATGGTATATGCTAGTGATCTAGGTCTACTAGACACCTTTTTATTTGTACTCAAGATGCAATATGAGTGTTTGGGTTTGCCTACGTCAAATGTGAGACTGAGACCCCAGGCGCTGTGTTGGGATTAACAGAGCTCTGTATCTACCCAAACTCAATGGCAGTTCTTGCATCCTGACTGCTTCAGGGAGGTGAAAGAGTGTGTCAGCTTCCCTGAAAACGTGGATCCTTTTGGACCTGTGGGCAAATTAGACACTCTACTTTGTGGCTGATATGAAATATGGAGGCTATTAGTAAGAATATACTTAGGTTAAATGGGCACAAGGCCTTTTATTTGGGTGCTCTTGTAAAGGTGATTCTGTTGTATGTGTTTCCATTGTGCTTTGACCTCAGGTATTTGGTCTACAGACACTCCCTGCAGGCTCTGCAGTACTTCTGCAGAGTTTGCTGAAGTGTTGATGTTTGTACAACTCTGTGTGATAATACCCTTTAAAACATCCAAGAGATAAGGATATTAAATCCCATACAATCAACTCCGTTGTCATGCAAATGGATGGAACGAATTAACCTAGTTAATCAATAAGTGATAAAATATTTGTTTAGGATTTGGAATTTATAAAACAGTTTTGCATATTTAATATCATTTAGATATGGTACCAGGAATTTATCCTCTCTGCTATTAAAGAATCAATATGTGCTATGGTGAGCGCTGTGAATTGTGTAGGACTGATGAATCACAGACCTGTTGCCCTGAAACAAATAATACATTATATGTTAATAAAAATAATAAAAAGAAAGAATCAATAGTATTTTAAAAATTTGGTACATTATAAGATATATGAGGAAAAGAAGAAATTCTAAAGAATCATGTTTCTTCTATTTAGAAGGCATTCCAGAATCTTTTTAAAAAATTACTTTTATTATTTAAAAAATAGCTTTAGGTATTATGAATATGCAAAAAATGCACATATTTAATGTATATAATTTGACAAGTTTGGACATATGCATGTATCTGTAAAATCATCCACAATTAGGGTAGTAGACATATCCATTACCTCCAAAAGCTTTCCCATGTCACTTTTTCTTTGGGGGGGCGGTTAAGAACACTTAACACAAGATCTACCCTTTTTACAAGTTTTTAAATGCACAATTCAGTATTGTTAACCATAGGTACTATATTGTACAGCAGATCTTTAGAATTTACTCATTTTGCATAACTGAAGCTATATACCCATTGAACAAAAGCTCCTCATTTTCACCTCCCCCAGCCACTGGCAACCACCTTCCACTTTCTGTTTTTCTGAGTTGACTATTTTTTGTATCTCATATAACTGGAATCGCATAGTATTTGTCCTTCTGTGAATGTCTTATTTCACTTAGCTTAATATCCTCAAGGTAATTGTATGTATGTATGTAATCCATGCTGTTACATATGACAGGATTTCCTTCTTTTTAAGGATGAATAGTATTCTATTGTATGTATATACCACATTTTCTTTATCCATTCATCTATGGATGGATACTTGGGTTGTTTCCATGTCTTGGTTGTTGTGAATAATGCTGCAATGAATATAAGAGATATCTTTTGGCATTCCAGAATCTTGATGAACCTAATATTATCATTATTGATAGCTATTAAGATTTTATTTAATTATGGAGGGCTGGTAAGTATATTGCTCTGTTTAACAGAATACCAGACAATGTTTCATTCACCTCATATGTTGTAGGCAAACTCTGTGAAAACCGCTGGTCCTGTTATGGAATGAAGTGTTATTATTTTATTCCTGAAAGTAAAAACTGGAACGGATGTAAACAGACTTGCCAAAGTTATAAGTCATCTCTTTTGAAGATAAATGATGAAGATGAACTGGTATCATGGACTGTTACATTCACTTTTATTTTCCTAACTGTCTCTCATGCTTGGAGTGATGTTGAGGGTATTGAGATGTTGAGGATATTGAGGATATTGAGAGATGTTGAGATACTGAGGACAGGGGGAGGCCAGAAAGAAGGACCTTCAGTTATTCTCTGTATTGTGTCTGTTGAGTGAGCAAAAATTGTGTGGGTAAGAAAGGTAAGGGTTCTGGAAAACCCTGCCTACTGATAGGCATATATGATCTTGCTACTTTCTAAACATTCAATATATATTATTTATCATGATGACCATTATTGTTTCCAAAATGGAAACCCCCTTGAAGATTCAGTTTGGGTTTTTGCATTCATTTCCTTTTCTAAGGTGTGTGCAGAACAGCTCACTGAGAAGCGTGCCTCTCCTTCGATGGAGCCCTTAACCCTTTGGTATTTGCAGCCTGGAAGCAGTGGTTATTTATCCTTGCAAGCTGGCAACTAAGAACCTGGAGGAACCTAATCCACTAGGTGCTATTAGGAATCCAGGAGCCAGATTGCCTGGGATCAGGCAAATCCGCTTCTGCTACCTATTATTTGTGTGACCTTGGTTGAATTACTCAACCTCTGGATCTCAGTTTTTCCACCTGCAAAAAGGAGATAATAATGAGGAATATAAAAGTGATAACAGTTTTACAGGTTAGCCTCATGGTGATTTTCATGGCATCTGTAGATAACATTTTCTTGATCAATATTCTAATATATTGTATAATGATGTATATCTTTCAAAAGGAATTGTAAAAAGAGAAAATAAAGTGACAACAATATCAAAATTATCTTTTAATTTATTACTAGTAAAAATTATCCACACACACAAAATATTTTTTACAGAAAAGTATTTTCAAAGATCAGCCTAAAACCTCTATTTATCCCTTAGGAAAACAATATAACATTTATATGCAAATCTAATAGATGTTTTAAGTCACAACATAAAAGAATTTATGATATCAAGTCATAAAATGTTTGTTGCAGTAAAACTCACTTAAATTTAAGCCTATATTTTGAAATACATTCAGCCATTTAATCAGACATTACGTAAAATGTCACTTTGCTATATTACATTTTTTGACATAGTAAATATTTCCAAATACTGCCCATTTTCCCTTCACCCCTTCGAACTACTAAACTACAGCAAGCCTTTCTCTTATGAGGCTGAGGGTTTTGATGCACAACTTAGCACATTTAGTTGTTATTTTAATAAATTTGTTGTGAAGATTCCTTTTTTCATTTAATAATAAGTAATGATCACTTTCTACACCATTAAATATTTTTCTGGAGCATGGTTTTGAGTAGTTTTATAGTGACATACATTATTTAACAAGTCTAGTGTTAGATATTTAGATTTAAATTTTTTTCGTGTTTAAATAATCCATGAGAGTGGCAGGAATTTTTAACATTAAGTAAATAATCTTTGAGGTAAAACTTACTTTGGAAAATAAAAGCATGAGGATGGAGAGGAGGGAGGGTTTTCCAGGAATAGAGATGAAGCATGGTGTGGTGTGTAGCAGAGTATTTATTGTCCATAGAAACAGCTGGGACCTTCACCTTCCTCCTTTTCATTAATCTAACAGATGGGGCTAGTCACATGATATGTTTTGTTTCCTTACAGGCCTTTATTCAATCCCAAATTTATAGGAATAACTACTGGATTGGATTATCATATGATGATAGAGAACAAAAATGGAAATGGATTGACACTGGTCCACCTTTTGGGATGTAAGTCTCTGGAATGCATTCAAACTCCAACATTGGTGTTGGGGTTGGGAGGACTGTATCTAAAAAGAATCTTCTCTTATTTCACGTGGTTTTCACACAGAGGTCATTGGTAAGAATAAGTAGAATGATGAAGAACGTGTTTTAGGAAGTATAATTAAAAAGAAAGAGAAATGTCATACAGATTATTAACAAAATTTTGATGCTAAACACATGCTCAGAAGTATGCATTATGAGGTACCCAAAACAAATGCAAATCATAAAGTGATATGAAGGAATTGGACCATCCTGAATCAGCTATAGTGATCCCTCCCACAATCACAAGTTAAGTATTTGGAGGATCCCCAAAGTTCATTTGAAACTTCTTTATAGATGGTCCCTGACTAACAAGGGTTTTACTTACAATTTTTCTACTTTACAATGGTGTGAAAGCAATATGCATTCAGTAGAAACTGTACTTTGAATTTTTAATTTGATCTTTCCCGGGGCTGGTGATGTGCAGTGTGATCTTCTGTTGTGATGCTGGGTGGAGGCAGCTGGAGCTCCCAGTGATCCTCCTGACTGATCACAAGGATCAACAACCCAGTACACTTAACAACCATCCTATACCCATACAACCGTTCTGGTTCTCACTTTCAGTGTAGTATTCAATAAATCACATGAGATGCTCAACACGTTATTATAAAATGGGCTTTGTGTTAGATGATTTTGCCTAACCATAGGCTAACAAAAGTGTTCTGATCATATTTAAGGTACACTAGGATAAGCTAGTAGGGTGGGTGTATTACATGCATTTTTGACTTTTGGTATTTTCAATTTGTCTTGGGTTTATCAGGACATAACACCATCATACAATCTGTATATTATTAGTTTATATTATTTATAAATATAAATATAAGTGAGTATACACACACGCACACATACACATATGCCTTCACTATGGTTTTTTTGGGGGGGTTGTTTGTTTCTTTGTTTATCACTATACCCAATGTGGGGCTCAAACTCTGTCCTTGAGATCGAGAGTCACAAGCTCTTCCAACTGAGCCATCCAGACATCCCCATAGTTTTATTTTGAAGTGCAGTATTTTGTAAACTCTTGGGTTTCCATTTAGTTATAATTTTCTGTTAAACTGTTCAATAATTTTTTAAAAATCTTAACTTTTATACCTTTTATTTCTAGGGATTCTGGTTTAAGTTTTTAAATCTTGCTAGTTACTCACTTCTTCAAGCTGTCTTTTATTTCTCGAAAGATGTCAAACATACTTATTTTATATTTGGTATCTGATAATTCTAATATTTGAAGTTTTGTGGGTCTACTCTATAGTTTCTGCTGGCTTTAGTTCATGGTGTCATTTTCTGTGTAGTGTTTTTTTCGTTTTTGAGCTGCTGTGGAAATTATTTGAGGACTGAGATGAAGGTGGATGCAAACTTAAAAGAGATGGCTTGCAGGAAATTACCTTGATGCAGTTATAGCCTGTGAGTTCACTTCCAGGCAAACACTTCAGAGGCACAGAACAGAAAGGCTCATGGGTCAAATTAAGATGCTCAAACTGTATTTAGTTAATTAAGTCAATTTGGAACAAATAGCCCAATGCAAGGGGAAAGAAATAGCTTATCACAATGGGATGGGATAGGATCAGTTATCACATTCAGGATAAGGTGCAAGTGGGTAAAAGGTTACCTGAATCCTGGGTTACATAATCTTCAGATGGCCTGACTCTTCTGCATCCCCCTTTCCTGATAGTGGCGTGGTTTCTAGGATATCACTTGAGTTTTGAGTAAGGGGGCCCAACAAACAGAAGGCTCTGTGGCCAGCATATGCATTTTCTCTAGTGGGGAGATGTGGGAGCATGTAAGCCCGGGGACAGCTGCAGCTTTCCAGTGATCCTGATGAGCAGCTATGGATTTTATTTGAGTTTGTTAGGCAGAGGGTCAGTAAGAGTGTCACCAGTAGGAGGTGAATTTAAGACCTCATAGATGTAAGTGTCTATGTGCATAATGTATATTTTGAGTGAGACATGTAGTGCTACTTGGTTCCTTCTTCCTTGCCTATGTTCAGCAGGCACATGCTGTACTTACAGTATCTATACCTGACATGTCTCAAAGGTTACTAACTTCCTCATCCGTACTTATTGAACACATCTCATGCTTTCTGCCCATGCCTCCCAAGCTACTTAGTTTCATTTATCTTCCTTTTTTTTTTTTTTTTTTTCTGTAGGGGATTTGGATATTCAAATAATATTCAAATACAAATTGCATGAGGGATAATTGGTAATTTTGGATTCTTAGGTGGGATTATTCATTTTTTCTTCTGCTTAAGTCCAAGGTTGAAGACTTTTCAAGGGTAGTTTACATTGAAGATACATCTTCAGGGTCTCAACTCTTTGTAGGTTTTCTTCCATATGGAAACTTGAGTGGAATTCATATTTAATCTACTGTATCAATTAAGGGAGAAAATGACTTCAGTCCTTCACTTACCCTTCTGGGTTCCCACCTTTACTTAACCTCAGCCTGAGCCTGAATTTGCTTCTTGCCAGCTCATAAATTCATTCAAGAAGGTTTTAATTTTTTTTTAAGATTTTACTTATGAGATAGAGCAAGAGCGAATGAGAGAGAGAGAGATAGAAACAGGCTCTCCACTGAGTAGGGAACCCGATGTGGGGCTCGATCCCTGGACTCTGGGATCATAACCTGAGCTGAAGGCAGATATTTAACTGACTGAGCCACCCAGACATCCCTAAACAGTTGACCATGTGTGTTTTCTATTCTACAGTAACTATACATTCATGAGTTCTTCTGGAAGAGGACAATGTGCATTTTTAACCCCAACAAGAATAACAACTATTGAGTGCTCTAAGACCTACAATTGTATCTGTGAGGAGAGAATTGATGCTGGTTTCTCTGCCTGCTTCAATATATACAAGAAGAAAAGGTGCAATGGAACCTGATATTTGTTTGTTTGTTTGTTCCTGTGATAATTTGTGAATACTTAACAAACTAATGTTTTTTGCTACTAGGAGTTACTTTACTGTGGAAACAGAGATGAGTGGGAAAAGGAAGGAAATGTTCTTTTGGACTATGATTTAAGAGATCAGATGCCATCTGTCTTCTTGAGAAAGAGTGCATGCTTTTGTCTTTGGAGAGGTTTCCCCTTTCTTTAATGGTCCTGAGAAATTCCCTTTCTCTTTCCCTGACCTACCCATAGAACCAATTAGACAACTCTGATAGTTTGGTCTTTTCCTTATTAGTAGGAGAAATGGGATAAATCATTTCAGTAGCCTCTGGGTTTGAGAGGTGGCACAATTAAGAACTAAAATATAGTTATTTTGCCTCCCCTCCCATCTAGATAATCACCTTTCATTAAAATGGTTTTACTTTGCTATAATTTCATACTTCCTCATAGTTGAAAAAATTGTATAAAAACTCTCCTGTAACCTTTGCACGTAGTTACCATTTGTTCATATTTTGTTCTACCTGTGCTTTACAGTTCTCCTCTCTCTCCCCTACTCCCTTGCTGTTCTAATTGATAATAAATTGGGGACCTTATGTCCCTTTGTCTAACTATTTTATAAGAACAAGTACTTTGTCTTGGGGCGCCTGGGTGGCTCAGTTGGTTAAGCGACTGCCTTCGGCTCTGGTCATGATCCTGGAGTCCCTGGATCGAGTCCCGCATCGGGCTTCCTGCTCGGCAGGGAGTCTGCTTCTCCCTCTGACCCTCCTCCCTCTCATGCTCTCTGTCTCTCATTCTCTCTCTCTCAAATAAATAAATAAAATCTTAAAAAAAAAAAAAAAAAGAACAAGTACTTTGTCTTGTATAACCATAGTAAAATTATAAAAATCAGGATATTTAGCATTGATAGAGTACTGTGATTTCATCCATAACCCATATTCAAATTTTGTCAACTGTCCTGATAATATCAGCATAGGTATTTTTCCTGCACGTGTGGGATCATGTGATACATTTAGTTGTGATGTCATTTTAGTCTCTTTTAGTCTCGGAGAACTCCTCAGGTTTCTTGGTCTTCTTGACCTTGACATTTTGTTTTATTGTTCTTTATAAGATTTAATTTATTTATTTAGAGAGAAAAAGTGTGAGCGGTGGGAGGGGCAGAGGGAGAGGAGAGAGAGAATCTCAAGCAGACTCCATGCTGAGCTCAGAACCCTATCCAGGGCTTCATCTTGGGACTCTGAGCCAAAACCAAGAGTTGGTCACTTAATGGACTGAGCCACCTAGGTGCCCCTTGACCTTGACATTTTAAAAATCAACTTTATCTGGTTATTCTTTCATGCAATAAAGTGCACCCATTTTAAGTCATGAGGTCAGTGGGTTTTTAGCAAATGTATACATTTCTTAAACACCATCAGGTCAAGATATAGAATAATTCTATTGCCTGCAAAAGCTCCTTTCTTCCCCCTCACTACCCACCTGGTCCCAGACAACCAGTGTTACACTTTCTGTCACTATGAATTGGTTTTGCCTCTTCTAGAATTTCATAATCATGTACTTTTTTGTATCTGACTTCTTTTGCTCAGCGTGTTTTTGAAATCCATGTTCTTTCATGTATCAGTAATTCATTCCTGAACTACTTTTCCTGAAAAGTAATAATATTGAGCAACTTCTTGTGTATTTATTGGCCATTTGTGTATCTTCTTTTCAGAAGTGTCTGTTTAGTTTTTTGCCTATTGAAGTGTCCATTCAATCTTTTTTTATTTTTATTTTATTTTTAAAAAAGATTTTATTTATTTGACAGAGAGAGAGCGCAAGAGAGCACAAGCAGGGGGAGCGGCAGAAGCAGGCTCCCTGCTGAGCAGAGAGACCGACACAGGGCTTGATCCCAGGACCCCAGGACCCCAGGACCCCGGGACCCCGGGATCCTACCTGAGCTGAGGGCAGATGCTTAACCAACTGAGCCACCCAGGCACCCCTGTTCAATCTTTTCTTAAGTTGTAAGTGTTCTCAAATAAATAAATAAAATCTTTTAAAAAATATATAGAAAGGTTTACTTTTTCCTTTCCTTCATTTTTTTCTCTTGCTTTATTGTACTGCTTAGGACCTCTGGTACAGTGTTGAAGAGAGTGGTGATAGGAGTCATGCTTGTCTTGTTCCCCATGTTACAAAAAGAAAGGTATTTAGTTTTTCACTCTTATATGTCAGGTCTGCTGCAGGTTTTTGGAGATCCTCTTTATTGTGTTGAGGAAATTCCCTTCTATTCCTGTTGATTGAGACTTTTACCATGAATGGAAATTGAATTTTGTTATATAAATTTTTGTATCTCTTGAGATGTTTATATAGATATTCTCTTATATTCATAATATGATAGATGGCATTATGGTTTTTCAATGTTAAACAAAACTTGCACTTCTTGGGTAATTCCCATGTGGTCATATTGTATTTATTATCATTTTTTATATATTGGTAGATTTGCTTGGGTAATATTTTCTTAAAAATTGTGTGCTAATATTCATGATGGATATTGGTGTGTTATTTTATTTATTTATTTATTTATTTATTTATTTATTTATTTATTTATTTATGTTTTAAAAAGATTTATTTATTTAAGAGAGAGAGCATGTGTGAGCCAGGGGAGAGGTAAAGGGAGAGGATAATGGACAGAAGCGGACTCCCTGCTGAGTCAGCAGCCCAAGGCAGGGCTCCATCTCATGACCCTGAGATCATGTCCTGAGGTGAAATCATGAGTTGGATGCTTAACCAACTGAGCCACCCAGGTGCCCCTAATTTGTTTAAATATCTTTTTCTGTTTATGGTATTGGAGAAATACTGGCCTTATGTATTCATTTGGGATGTTTCTGAATATCCATCTATTTTGTGGGGTAGCATTTGAATTTTCATTCCTTAAGTGTTTGCTCAGATGTACTAGAGAAATAATCTGTGTCTGAAATTTTCTTTGAGAGATTACATTTCATTAGGAATACCATTTCTTTAATAGGGGCTCTTTAGACATTCTGTTTCTTGTCAATTTTGATAATCTTGATCTTTCGAGGAATTTATTGATTTTACCTAAATCGTCAAATGTATAGTTTTAGTGTTTTTCACAGTTGTATTAATTTCCTAGGGCTGCTGTAACAAAGTACCACAAATTCACCAGCTTAAAGCCATCACGATTTATTCTCTCACTGTTCCGGAAGACAGAGGTCCAAACCAAGGTGTCAGTATGCTTCCTCTGAGACTTGGGTGGAATCTTTGCTTCTTCCTGGCTTTTCATGGTGGCCATTGATTCATGGCATTACTTGGCTTGCAGTTGCATGGCTCACTTTCTGCCTCTGTTATCACATGGCATGCTCCGTGTGTGTCCCTGTCTTTACGTACAGTTTCCTCTTCATATAAGGATGTCAGCCATATTGGATTAGAGCCCACTCTAATGACCTCTTCTCAACTTGACTGCATCTACAGAGACCTTATTTCCAAACAGGGTCATATTCATAGGTGCAGGGGTTAGAACTTAAGCATATCTTTTCAGAGGATACAGTTCAACCCATAACAATAATATTCCCTTATTATCTGTTTACTGTGTGTAGGATCAATGATCCTGTCAGTTTTTTTCTGATATTGTTTATGTTTTTGATATTGTTGTATTTGTGTTCTTCTGTTTTGATGAGTCTAGCTAGAAATTATCAACTTTATTGATCTTGCCAATGAACCAGATTTTTGTCTCATTGATTTGTTTATGTTTGTCCATTTTTTATCTTATTTCATCTTTTATCTTTATTATTTTCTCCCTTCTACTTGTTTTGAGTATGACTGCTTTTATTTTCCTGCCTTCTTCAGTGAAAGTGTTTTTATTTATTTACTTATTTGAGAGAGAGAAAGAGAGAGAGCATGAGCAGGGGGAGGGGCAGAGGGAGAGGGAGAAGCAGACTCCCCGCTGAGAGCAGAGCTTGACACAGGGCTCCATCCCAGGACCCTGTAATTATGACCCGAGCCAAAGTCAGACCATTTACTGAGTGAGCCACCCAGGTGCCCCTTAAGTGAAAGCTTTTAATCCTGTTGTCACACATAGATCTTTACTCATATGAAACCTAAAAACTTGTAAAGTTTTAATAAAAGGTTTGAGCATCTCGTGTCATTGGGCAGTGTGCTAGACCTGGTTTATGTGCTTAGTTTAAAATTTTATCTAAATTTAGGAGACCTAAATTTTGTCTGGTCCCAGGAATTCAGCTAGATAGGGATCAAACCATTCTGAACACCTACGAACTCAACAGGAGATCAAAGAAAAGAATAGCAACAACTCTCTGAACAGAAAAGCGACCATTTTCTGGAAGGTAGGATGTGCGGAGAAGTGAATCCGAGGTGATATTCGGGAAGATAGATGGCGGGGGGGGGACCTCCGTCAGCCGCTACTGGCAAGTGATAGAGCAGTGGAGCACAAAATCGGAACTTTTAGAAGTCAGCTCCGCTGAGGGACATCACTACAGTGGCTAAGCAGGGGGTGGAACCCTCGCTGGGACAGTGTGGTCTCAGGACCCTCGGGGTCACAGAAAGACTGGGGGTGCCTGAGTGCGGCAGAGCTCCCAGGTATCGGAGCGGGGAAGCTGGCTGCAGAGATGGAGCCAAGGCACGGGCTCTCAGCTCGGGGTTGCCATAAACCATGATCCACAGCATAGTCAGGCCACTGCTCCTCCAGCAGGGACCCAACAAGCAGCAGATCCGGGGAGACTCCCCTTCCTCCCCTGGGAGGAGCCCTGCGGGAGTGCACCGCAGGGATCTGCTGGGTTTGGAGACTCCACACCCAGTCGGGTGCCAGAGACAAACGCTTGGTCACAGGCCGGGTGAACATGGAGTGCGGCCAGAGACCGGGGAGATGGGAGTGATTGACTGCTTTTCTCTGGGGGCACACTGAGGAGCGGGGCCCCGAGTTCTCAGCTCCTCCGGGGCAGAGATTGGGAGGCCGCCATTTTCACTCTCAGCCTCCAAAGCTGTACGGAAAGCTTGCAGGGAACAAAAGCTCCAGAGAGCAAACCTGAGCAGATTACTTAGCCCGGACCTGGCAAGGGTGGGGCAATTCTGCCTCCAGCAAAGACATTTGGGAACCATGGCTACAGGCCTCTCCCCCAGAAGATCAGCGAGAACAGCCAGCCAAGACCAAGTTTACCGATCAATGAGAATGGCAGAACTCTAGCACTAGGGGAATACTGCACATAGAATTCGTAGCTTTTTTCCCATGATTCCTTGGTCTTTCAAAGTTAATTTTTTTTAACTTTTTTTTTTGAATTTTTCTTTTTCCCTTTTTCAACCAACATCTTATCAATCCCTTTTTTTAAAATCTTTTTATTTATTTTTAGAGTTATATTCTATCCCTTCATAGTAGTTACCCTTATTTTTGGCATATATATATATATAAGTTGTTCTCTCTTTAAAATTTTGGGATACAGTTTCTTCTAACAGATCAAAATATACCCTAAATCTCTAGTGTATGGCTTTGTTCTAGTCTCCTGCCTGACCACATTCTCTCCTTTTTCTTTTTTAAAATCCTCTTCTTTCTTTTTTCAACCAACTTCTTATCGATTTCTTTTATAATTTTCATTTTTACAGTCATATTCCATCCCTTCATTGTATTTACCCTTATTTTTATACATATATAAGTTTTTCTTTCTTTAAAATTTTGGGAGGCACTTTCTTCTAACAGACCAAAATACACCCAAAATCTAGTATGTGGCACTGATCTATGCACCAGGCTGATCATATTTGATCATATTCTGTTTTTTGTTTGTTTTTATCTTTTTCTTTCTCTTTTTTTCTTTCTTTTCCTTTCTTTTCCCCCAGTTTGAGGTCTCTTCTGATTTGTTTAGTGTATATTCTTCTGGGGTCGTTGTTACCCTGCTAGCATTTTGTTCTCTCATTCATCTATTCTCCTCTGGACAAAATGACATGATGGAAAAAATCACCTCAAAAAAAAAGAACAGAGGCAGTACCGACTGCCAGGGACCTAATCAATATGGACATTAGTATGATGTCAGAACTAGAATTCAGAATGACGATTTTAAAGATACTAGCTGGGCTTGAAAAAAGCAAGGAAGGTATTAGAGAAACCCTTCCTGGAGAAATAAAAGAACTTAAATTTAACCAAGTCAAAATCAAAAAGGCAATTAATGAGGTGCAATAAAAAATGGAGGCTCTAACTGCTAGGATAAATGAGGCAGAAGAGAGAATCAGTGATATAGAAGACCAAATGATGGAAAATAAAGAAGCTGAGAAAAAGAGATAAACAACTACTGGATCACGAGGGCAGAATTTGAGAGATAAGTGATACCATAAGATGAAACAATATTAGAATAATTGGGATCTCAGAAGAAGAAGAAAGAGAGAGAGGTGTAGAAGGTATATTGGAGCAAATTATAGCAGAGAACTTCCCTAATTTGGGGAAGGAAACAGGCATCAAAATCCAGGAGGCACAGAGAACTCCCCTCAAAATCAATAAAAATAGGTCAACACCCTGACGTCTAGTAAAACTTATGGGTCTCAGAGACAAATAGAAAATCCTGAAAGCAGCTCGGGAGAAGAGATCTGTAACCTACAATGGTAGAAACATTAGATGAGCAACAGACCTATCCACAGAGACCTGGCAGGCCAGAAAGGACTGGCATGATATATTCAGAGCACTAAATGAGAAAAATATGCAGCCAAGAATACTCTATCCAGCTAGGCTGTCATTGAAAATAGAAGGAGAGATCAAAAGCTTCCAGGACAAACAAAAACTAAAGGAATTTGCAAACACAAAACCGGCCCTACAAGAAATATTGAAAGGGGTCCTCTAAGCAAAGAGAGAGCCTAAAAGCAACATAGACCAGAAAGGAACACAGACAATATACAGTAACAGTCACCTTACAGGCAATACAATGGCACTAAATTCATATCTTTCAATAGTTACCCTGAATGTAAATGGGCTTAATGCCCCAATCAAAAGACATAGGGTATCAGATTGGATAAAAAGCAAGACCCATCGATATGCTGTCTGCAAGAGACTCATTTTAGACCCAAAGACACCTCCAGATTGAAAGTGAGGGGGTGGAAAACAATTTACCATGCTAATGAACACCAAAAGAAAGCTGGGGTGGCAATCCTTCTATCAGACAAATTAGATTTTAAACCAAAGACTATACTAAGGGATGAGGAAGGACACTCACTATATCCTACTTGAAGGGTCTATCCAACAAGAAGATCTAACAGTTGTAAATATCTATGCCCCTAACATGGGAGCAGCCATTATATAAGCCAATTAATAACAAAAGCAAAGAAACACATTGACAACAATACAATAATAGTGGGGGACTTTAACACCCCCCTCACTGAAATGGACAAATCATCTAAGCAAAAGATCAACAAGGAAATAAAGACTTTAAATGACACACTGGACCAAATGGACTTCACAGATATATTCAGAACATTCCACCTCAAAGCAACAGAATATACATTCTTCTCTAGTGCCCATGGAACATTCTCCAGGATAGATCATATCCTAGGTCACAAATCAGGTCTCAACTGGTACCAAAAGATTGGGATCATTCCCTGCATATTTTCAGACCACAGTGCTTTGAAACTAGAACTCAATCACAAGAGGAAAGTCAGAAAGAACTCAAATCCATGGAGGCTAAAGAGCATCTTACTAAAGAATGAATGGGTCAACCAGGAAATTAAGAATTTAAAAAAATCATGGAAACCAATGAAAATGAAAACACACTGTTCAAAATCTTTGGGATGCAGCAAAGGCAGTCCTAAGAGGAAAGTATATAACAATACAAGCCTTTCTCAAGAAACAAGAAAGTCTCAAATACACAACCTAACCCTACACCTAAAGGAGGTGGAGAGAGAACAGCAAATGTAGCCTAAACCCAGCAGGAGAAGAGAAATAATAAAGATCAGAGCAGAAATCAATGAAATAGAAACTAAAAGAACAGTAGAACAGATCAACGAAACTAGGAGCTGGTTCTTTGAAAGAATTAACAAGATTGATAAACCCCTGGCCAGACTTATCCAAAAGAAAAGAGAAAGGACCCAAATAAATAAAATCATGACTGAAAGAGGAGAGATCACAACCAACACCAAAGAAATACAAAGAATTATAATAAAATATAATGAGCAACTCTATGCCCGCAAATTAGATAATCTGGAAGTAATGGGTGCATTCTTAGACATGTATCAACTACCAATACTGAACCAGGAAGAAATAGAAAACCTGAACAGACTTATAACCACTAAGGAAATTAAAGCAGTCATCAAAAATCTCCTAAGAAACAAAAGCCCAGGGCCAGATGGTTTCCCAGGGGAATTCTACCAAACATTTAAAGAAGAATTAATACTTATTCTTCTGAAACTGTTCCAAAAAATAGAAGTGGAAGGACAACTTCCAAACTTGTTTTATGAGGCCACCATTACCTTGATCCCAAAACCAGACAAGGACGCCATCAAATATATCCTTGATGAACATGGATGCAAAAATTGTCACCAAAATACTAGCCAATAGGATCCAACAGTACATCAAAAGGATTATTCACCACGACCAAGTGGGATTTATCCCTCGGCTACGAGGTTGGTCCAACATCCACAAATCAATCAATGTGATACAATACATTAATGAAAGAAAGAACAAGAACCATATGATCCTCTCAATAGATGCAGAAAAAGCATTTGACAAAGTACGGCATCCTTTCTTGATCAAAACTCTTCAGAGTATAGGGATAGAGGGTATATCCCTCAATATCATAAAAGCCATCTTTGAAAAACACACAGCGAATATCATTCTCAATGGGAAAAAACTGAGAGTTTCCCCCTAAGGTCAGGAACACAGCAGGGATGTCCACTATCACCACTGCTATTCAACATAGTATTAGAAGTCCTAGCCACAGCAATCAGACAACAAAAAGAAATAAAAGGCATCCAAATCAGCAAAGAAGAAGTCAAACTCTCACTCTTTGCAGATGATATGATACTTTATGTGGAAAACCCAGAAGACTCCCCCCCAAAACTGCTAGAACTTATACAGGAAGTCAGTAAAGTGGCAGGATATAAAATCAATGCACAAAAATCAGTGGCATTCTTATACACCAACAACAAGACAGAAGAAAGAGAAATTAAGGAGTCAATCCCATTTACAATTGCACCCAAAACCATAAGATACCTAGGAATAAATCTAACCAAAGAGGCAGAGAATCTATACTCAGAAAACTATAAAATACTCATGAAAGAAATTGAGGAAGACACAGAGAAATGGAAGAACGTTCCATGCTCATGGATTGGAAGAACAAACATTGTGAAGATGTCAATGCTACCTGGAGCAATCTACACATTCAATGCAATCCCCACCAAAATACCATCCACTTTTTTCAAAGAAATGGAACAAATAACCCTAAACTTTGTATGGAACCAGAAAAGACCTTGAATAGCCAGAGGAATGTTGAAAAAGAAAAGCAAAGCTGGTGGCATCACAATTCCGGACTTCAAGCTCTATTACAAAGCTGTCATCATCAAGACAGTATGGTACTGGCACAAAAACAGACCCATAGATCAATGGAACAGAATAGAGAGCCTAGAAATGGACCCTCAACTCTATGGTTAACTAATCTTCGACAAAGCAGGAAAGAATGTCCAGTGGAAAAAAGACAGTCTCTTCAACAAATGGTGTTGGGAAAATTGGACAGCCACATGCAGAAGAATGAAACTGGACCATTTCCCTACACCACACACAAAAATAGACTCCAAATGGTT